CCAACTCCAACATTTGTTGCAGTCAAGAAGCGCTTCCCCTTTTTGCCCAATCCCAAAAGCACAGCTGCAGTGCCATAAGCCTGAACCAGCCAATCACATCAAAAGCACTGTATAATAAGTAAACGGCTTGCCTGGCCGATGGCTATGGTCTGGATGTCTGGCTTGATGTACCTTATAATCCATCTCTATGTTTTGCTCCTGAAATCATAATCCAACATCAATGTATATCTTGCTCTCTTCACATTTTCGGCCCTATGCTCCAGACCCCATGCAGTCCGCAATGGCAAAAGCGTCGGTTTCCATGCCAACTTTGGACTCGCCAATATACCTGATGAAATGCTGTAGCTTGCTAGGCATGTTGCCACTAGGAGCAAGGACGCTACTAGGGGCTCCTGGCCTTACTACTAGGAACAAGAAGCTACTAGGAGCAAAGGGCATCGCTACTAGGAGCAAGGACGCTACTAGTAGCAGTACTCAAGCCGTGATTCCAGTGTGCCATGCGGGGCACCCAGTGTTGTTCTTGATGGTTGATCCAGTGCTATTGATGTAGAGGGTGATCTGGCAGTGAAAAACCAGGCATTGAAGGTAATCAAGCAGTTCAAACTTAAGCTATGGCGAGGCTGACCGGTTTGTCTGCAGACTCATAATTCAAGTACAGGAGCTGCGCAATGATCAGCTCAGTAACCTTGCAAAGGTTGGTCTTTACAGGTCTCTCATGCATTTCTCTGAGTATGGCCTCTGCGGTGATTGGTGTGCCGAGATACACAATACCTTGCAAGGACAAACATGGTCGTTGGCTGCGGAGGTGTTTACCTTTTTGACAGGTTTGAGGTCTTGCAGGCTTATGAGGACTGTCAATTTTTGCATGAGTCAACTTGGCATCTGACAGAGATTTCGCTACATCTCTAGTCTTGAACATTGTTGAACCTTGTTGCTATTTACAGTTTCTTCCTTTTCCTTGTACAATGAAGGATGCCTTTATATTTCATTTACTGATGGGACCTGTTCCGAACAAAGACCTAACAAAGTAACAACTGTGCGCAGCAGGTGTTCAGTCACTGCCAATCATCTCCTCAGCCGAGATCCCGACGTTCCTTTAATAATAGGGATGGCAGGTCGGGAGGTGGCCCGATTGGTGCACCCTGGGGACGCTTTCGCCGTTCTTGGCGACGTGAACGTGAACATGTAGTCAACAAAGAGCCGCAAAGGTCTTATTTAATTAGTCACTCTTGATCCAAAGTAACTGAATTGTGTTGCTCGCATACATTTACGAACATTTCGCATGTTGTATACAGTGAAGGTGAACAGCACGTGAAACAGGCGATTGGGAAACCATGAACTTGAACATATAGAAATCAATAGATGAGAAAAGTACGCCCTGACAGTGACTGAAAGCAAGACAACAGGAAGAAAAACAAATGTAGAATCACGGAGAACTAAACACTGGGAAGGAGGGGGTGGGAACAGCAGGAGTGGGAGCCAGAGCCATGAAGCGCGCAGGAGTGCGGGGAAGGAGAGGGGGAGGGAGGGGGAGGGAGGGCAGCTTCCAACCTGCCATAGAGTAGCTGCCAGCAGTCCTTAAGGAAAGGTGAACAAAAGGTTCACGAAGGGGTTTTAAAAAGGATAGAATAGGGTTTGAAAAAGGTGCGGAAAAGGCGAGCGACTATTCACAATTTTGGTTAAACATTTTATTCACTTTTGTCGAAACACCCTTTCCTGACCTTTTCATTGTTTCAGGGATTTTGCAGAAATAAGTCGGATAAACGTTCATAATCATACACACATGTTTGCATGTGTGATGTTGCTGCAGTGCTTCAAGCACCCGTCATGCAAAATATCATTGACCTCATCCACACATTCCAATTGCTTGACGCCTAGCTTTGCATTGTGTGACTTCTGTTCCAAGCAAATCTCAATGGATGGAATAATGGAATAGGCACCTCGCAGATGCCCTTGTGGCCTCTATCACAACGGGAACTGCAGTTGGCTTGCTTTTCATGTCTACGTTATAACTAGGTATTTATGCATTTGCCCAAATATAATATATATATATAATGTATGTATATACAGAATACATCAGAAAAAAAATGCTGTTTTGAGCCTCCCTCCTTATATAGAGATAAACCCAAATTGATTACAGTGTATATTTAGTTAGATTGGTCTTCTCCATTTTCACCGTTCATTCTCCTCCTACACTCAAATGCTTGAACCTACAGTAAGGTATTGAGTCACATGTTTCGGAGTAAAGGCACACATCACCATGGGCACAGCTCATCTGCGTGAACTCACCATGCTCGCATCAAGTCACCATCAAAACATCAAACCACAGTGAGCACATTCGCAAAGGCTCCACAAATCAAATGTGGTCATGCGTCATGAGTCATATTGCATAATTCGTTCTTAGCAGGAAGTGTGATGAGCAAGAGAAGTACTTCGCAACCATCAAGCAGCGTGGGCACCACCTGTAGCTGCCAGCCTGTGGTGTGTATCCCTAAAGCACACCTTGGCACGCCTCTGGCCGATAGCTTCACTTTCACTTGCCAGCAACGTTGAACATACAGTTGATGATCGTGAGCATAGCGATACCTCTGCATGAACCTCCCTGAAACCTCGCGCGACATACACGCAAGGTTGGGCCCTCCACAACACCACATCCGGAAACCTTACGAAAATAAAGATAAATAAAGCCTTTCAAACATGAATAATTGTCGTGTACTGGAACATGATGAAACCCTTGCCGTGCAAATGCTTGCTTGGCCTCGTAGGTTTGGGGTGCTGAAGCGTATGCTGCTCTGGCTGTCCTAGTTCGTCTGCCTCTAAGACACCTGTCGCGAAGCAATTCACTCGCACAATGCACAATGCCAATCGACAGGTCATTTGGATTCGGTATGCAAACATGCTGCAAACTAATTATAGAGTTGGCCTTGAGAGCGCTGCACACGCCAACAACGAGGACGTCCAAAACGAAGCTGTTGGAAGTTGCTGCGTTGGCAGTGCAGATGTAGCTGCCGCGGCGACAGTCTGCCTAGGCTCACATTGTGCTTGTGCCAGTGGCATTGACTCAACCAAGAACAATGAGAGTACCCTCGCTACCAATGTGTTTGGGACCTCAAGCCACGTTTCAGCATGCAGAATAGTACCAACCTCTATCAGGTGGCATGCACACCTCCAACAACAAAATGAATGCCGGTATTGACATGTCACATCGTACTCGACAAGCATCTGTCTTTTGTTCAGCACATCAATCTGCTTATCACAGGAGTTGTTTACATAATTCTTCCAAGAATGCGGGTGGTTTCATGGAAGCGTCTCACTAAGGCGGAAATAAAAGTGAGACTCGGCACGAGGTTGGTGGAAGGAGTGATTGAGTCAGCCCTCAGGAGGTTGTGAAACGCATGAATTCTTTTTGAGGCCAGCGAAGGGTTTGGTTAAGTTGGTTGATGTTGGTTGTGCTAGTGAGAAATTGACGTCTTGTTGCGAAAATTCATGCTGCATGCGGTTGTGGATTTCTCGAGTCGGACAAATAGGACTTAGGACACAATAGAAGTTTTGAACGCTTGGGAAATCTCTTCGAGGTGTCCGTCCGTCCATGGGTTTTCTCAAAGTTGCTTGGTATCAAATTGTTTGTCCATACATCGAGCAGCACACGGTCTTTTCACTTAAAACGCATTCAACGTTTCTTCAGTTAAAGCCTGATTTCTCATGCGGCCAGGCTCTGGGAACATGATTCAGTGATGCATCTGCAGAAAGTTGAGGCACAAAAGTTCACGCGCAAAAATTGACGCATATGGGCTGATACAAAGTTACCTTTGACACTCGAAGCAATTAATAACAGTTACAGTTACAAAATAAATGCAGGGGACACAGGGCACGCAAAACAACACAGATTCAATCACTATTCAACTTGTGGAAGCAAAAGGGCCGAACACTACACCAACATTTGTAGGACAAAAGGCACACATAGATTGTTTTCTCCGAGCAGAAACCCCTTGCTGTACGTGAATCACTTCCGCTTAATGATGAACCACAAGGTCTCCAAATACTTACGCCGCACGTTGCAATTGTCACGAACTCCGAAAAGGAACTGAACTGCTGCATTATCTATCGCTATCTCCAGAGTCTCTCTACAACAAAACAAAATCACAGAACTCGAACGCTGTCCAGCCAACCCAGGTATACTACTGCGATTTGCCTCGTTTCTTTCCATTGTCTGGTTTTTAAGGGTGGTGCGTCCTTGGACTGCGAAGCTGCGGCCTCTGGAGCTGAGATGTTCTGGGTCTGTCTTTAGAATACACCTTTGCACTTGGGGCCTCAATGGCTCAGGCACCAGGAAAGCCGCCGCCTCAGCATCGCTTCGTGAAACTCTTCAAACTCACAAAACGGGAATGTTTCCAAATGCATCCAAATGCATAATCCGCCGTAAAACGCCACTGGACGAAGCAGTGCTTTGTAAGAAAACAAACCAAAAGGAAGAGGTGCTGATAGGTTCCCAGAAGATCCTGTGGCCGGTTCTACCGTTGTTCGCAAACGGTTGCAGCTGAAGCCCAGGCTGGCGCGGAGCTCAACCTTGCTGGAGCCAACAACACAAGGCACAAGGTATTTAAGTTTAAGTGAGATTCGTTCAACAGAACAAAACAGAAGAGTTTCGGCAGCTTAAGAGTTTCAACAGCTTTCAGAAATCTAGTTGACTGATCAGGCTTACCGCTTGTCAATCTGAATGAAAAGGACCTTGTGTAAACTCCCAAACACTTGAGTTTCCAAAACAATACTGAGCTCCCTTACATTGCCCAAGCAAGGTGCAGCTCCGACAATTCAGGAAAAAAGTTGCTGCGGGGGTTCATCATAGATTGCGGTTCACAAACTTTCTCCAGTATGTGCAAGCTAAGTGAATAAGTTAAGGTAAAGGGGTTGTACAATTTAAGGACCTACAATATATATATATATATACATTTCTGAACAACACTGATTCAAATTTGCTGGTGCTGGCTTAGGTGCACTGAGCCCTTTTCCGCACCCCTTGAAACATGTTGCAGGGCCCATGGGGCACGGCGAAACTCGCACTCTACAACAAGCTTCCTTCCACAAGCAAAGAATAAAGCATGACAACATCGCCTGGTCTATGAGAATAAACCGTGGTCCAACTGCTTTCCCTAGTCCTTTGAAAGAAACTTCTGTTCTTTGCTAAACTCATCAAGCGGCCGCAAGCCTCGAACTTCCTGCATGCCAAGGGCGGGTAAGGGAGGCAAAGGTCAAATGTCATTCCCTCAAGAACGAAAATAACCACTGTCTCCAACTATCGCCAACACTTCGGCGAAATCACCCACTTCCACATGGACAATTAGATTGCCAAACTCGGATCTTCACCTAGAAATGATTGCGGAACATACTCAACACACTAGTGAAAATGTGAATTCAGAAATGATCAGTGCATTATTTGCTCATTTGGAGACTTCAACCATTTGCGGCTTGATTCTTTCGGTCAGTTTACACGCTTGATCACATTTCTGTTCCAGTTCAGTCCTTTTTGTCATCGTCTGAAGCCTACTGAGCATTGCATATCAAACACACCCGAAGAACAACACTTCATGGACATGAGACTCATTGAAGGTTGAGTCAACACAACTCGCAACATGAACTGGACATTCATTGCTCAACTGCCTCCTGAACCAGCAATCCTTTCCAGCTCCTGCCAAAAAGCATAATCGCGAGCTTTTGCTGCGAAAGCATTTTAGTTTACAGTTTGTGCACTTTAAATCATAGTTATAGAGGTTATTGAAGTTGCTCATTTCAAACAGGTGAACAAAAGTCTCCCCAAAAGCCCAGATTGGTTGATTCCCTGCAAAACCCAAGTGCCATTCTTATAACGCTCCCAGTCACTCTTGGTATCTTGTCATCGCTACAATGCTTTTTGGTCACTCTCATGTAGGCTGAAGTTGAGAGCTGTCCTCGGGGACAGCCTGGTTGGCCTCTTTCAGCACTTCTATGAGGTCCTTATGTACATCATCAAACGCCAGCAAATGCAATTGCGCTTTTCCAATTGATTGGCCTTCAAGCCAACACTTCCCTGGCCTTGGCATGTTTCGACTTGTCCGGCGTGAAGAAGGTGTATGCCGAGCCTGTCTCGCTGACTCGGCTGATTATTCTTATGTTTTCACCGGCTTCTCTTCCAAAAGCCTGATGCTCCAGCTCTCCCCGTTCGTCCCACCCGGTGGACATAGTCCTCAAGCCACTCCAAGGTTCAGAATGGAGGCTAGCTGTATCTCAAGTAGAACAGCAGTTTGTGCCATGCAGTCAATAACATTGAATGGGATGATCAGGACGATTCTCAAACGAATACATTGCAAAGTCCTCAATCTGGTTTGGAAAGTCGTAGTTGATGACACACCTGCACATAGAAAACATCCTGTCTGAGGCATGTGACCATGTGTTTTACATTGTTTGTTTGGTTTAGAACAAAGACTCATCCGGATGCGCACTTGATGTCTTTGACATCCAAACCGCGTGACGCCAAGTCAGTTGCTACCAGAATAGGTGACTTGCCTCGGCCGCCCAGTGTCAGGCAAATGCACAGCAACATACAGGCAAGACAGGCAGGGAACTTGAAGGACAAGAGCCGAGGCCTTCTTTGAACTCTTTCATTACCCAATCTCGCTCCTGGAATGAAGCAGCTAATTAGCCACTGTGATCAATGAAGCCAGGTTGAGTTGGGGTCTAGGATCAGGCTCGGCTCCTCCTGCCGCTTCTCACCATGTATGCACAAAGCAGGAAAACCATCCGTCCTGCCCACAAGAGAGTCACTAAAGACTAAAGGCTGAGGTACGCGAAACAGCTTTATGACATCAATTTGGCTTCGTCACTGTATCTTAGCGTGCATTGGTGTTAAACGGCTCACCAACTCACTACTGTAAGTGACTAAAAACATTGAAAACTGACTGAATCTAACTGAGCGTTGTTCAAAACCTATTGAGAATTGGTTTTAATCGGCTCTTCTTTCGCAAGTTCCTTACACAACTCTTTCGTGGCTTGCTTTTTGGCTTTCTCGTGCTGCATTCTGGCACAAACCCATTCGTACGTTTTCGCCCACAGAACGGACTTCGCAAGCTTTTGCAAGATTTTGCGCGTGAAAAGTTCACGAAATATTTCGAGAATCTTTCGCGATTGAGCGTTTACCTTTCGCGAAGGTACCATACATTAACCTCTCTTCATATCGTTACATGGGAAGTTTTGGCTGCTGCTCAACGAACTAAGTAACCAGCTGTCCATGTAACTATCTAACTAACTTATGTAACACTAACTAACTAACAAACTGAATTATACAACAAACTAACTAACCAAACTAACCAACAAACTAACAAAACAAACAACAAACTATAACTGTAACTGTAACTAACGCTAAACAAATAACTAGCTAACTAACTGCAACTAGCTAACACACACTTTGCATGTATATGCACATTCCCGGACATGCTTCCACTTCCTTGCATGAGGAATGCAACCTTTCTGCGAACTGACTCCCATCCTCATCTCTCTTGTTAGTTCATCGCCAGCTCTTTTCGTTTGACAAAAAATCAGGATCTTGGAGCCGTCCATGATCTGGCACTTGCTACGAATGCTGTGCGACTCTAATCAAACTTGCCATGACGAGTGAAGCCATGACGAGTGAAACCATTCATTTTGATTGATTTTCCTATCCAACCTCTATTATTGTCCGTGATGCATACCAGGAATCCATTCAACCGTTCAAGGCTAGTTCTGGCATCACTGAAGCAAACGATTTCTAACTGGTGCCTTCTCCAGCAATCTTCGCAATCTCGATCGTTTTTCACTTTCCTGGGGCAATGGGAGGGCACAACAGTCTACAAGTCTTCATATCTGTGAGCTACATCTCCTGTAGAACTTCCACATACTGCTTGATGGTGTGAGCTGTACGCAGTTGTCTGGCACCGACATTGATGTGCACAGGATCCTGCAAATAGTACAAGGCCATCAGAACCCGTCCACATCCTTCCACCCTGTAGTGGGAGTTTGAGAATTTGCACGTTTAATTTGACATGGTTTCAATGTTTAGTAGTGGTCGTGGCGCTCCTCCCTGCAAAGATCTCGCGCAAGTGACTGCACCTGAGATCAATCTTTCGGCAAAAGGTGTTTTCACATCAGATCATCATGTTCATCGGACAAAATTCAAAGGGCGATGTTGCAGCAGCAATCAAACACAAACATATAATATAATATTATGATACAATATATATTACATTACATAATATTGACCTTGATCTAATCTCCTTTCTGAATCCACAGTATCCTAGGTTCGTCTTTGGCAAAGCGGTTCAAAGGTTCGAGCGCTTGGGGGCCAGGTAGCACTCCACATCAACGTCTGCCGATCAGGGCGGACCTGGTTGACGGAACAGTGGCCAGTGGTGCTTCTCGACACTTGGCGTTCGTGAAGGCTTTGCATCACAATGAAAGTGGCAAGAAATGGTCCGTGGCCTGGGTGCATATCTTTCTCACTTGAGGCTCAAAGCCCATGTCGAGCATCCTGTCAGCCTGGAATTGAGCAGGGGCAGTGTCAGCATCTTTTGGCAAGAATGAAGTCAAGCCTCATCTAGAACCAAGTAGGTAACACGCTTCAGATTGGTGTCACCTGGCATGTTGAAAATGTATTGCAAATCACTCAAGAAATGGACGGTGACGGTACCTATGAAACAACTACTTCAAAGTCTTTGACGTGATGCTGCCCAAAACAAGGAAGCACGGCCAGTGCCCAAAAAGTCAATCAAGCGCCCCGGCGTGGCAATCGCAATCTCGACCTGGACGTCATGATCTCTATTATCCGAACTGCTTTGAACTCATTCAATAAATCACAGTGGCATAGTTCACAACAAACAACAACAACCTCGTCTCTTTGGGCAAATGCATTTGCCATCTCGCTCTAGCTCACAAAAAGGAAAACACATGCAAGAACGAAGTACGAAGTCACACATTTTGTTCTTACATGGACCAAGGATGTCACCCCATCGCGCAGATTTCGAGCTTGATCCATTTTGGGAACGCCACCATAACCTGGCGCATACGAACGATGACGACAATGACATATGGGTGATGCGCACGCGAACATTTTTTTCTTTCATTTGTCTGCACTGAGTTCCCTGTTTAGGACCGACAATAGGATGTTTGTTTTCCTGCAGTGACAAACTCTCATGTCTAGTCAGAACGAGCTTTGATGAGGGGCAACATATTTTCAACCCTAAAACCTTTTTTAACCCTGCAACATGTTTAACCCCTAGAACATTCTTTTTTAGCCCTCTAACATTTTTTTTTCGCCCTTGCACATGTTTTTTCGACCCTGGAACCTTCTACTTTAACCCCGTCACATGGTCTTACAGCCACTTTAAGCTTTCCTCATCTGTGGCTCACAAATGTCCTAAATTAAGAAAGCGGGGGAGGGCGCAGCGCCTCTCCCGCCATGAAAACAAAGTATAGTATAGTAAAGCAAAGTATAGTATAGTATAGTCAGCAACCCGGCGCTCAAAGCAAACGCTTGAGTTTAAAGGTCGGCGCTGCTTTGAACCAAACAATTGCCGGGAAAAGTTGTGCTGCGTCTCCAACTTTCAAGTTGTCACAGGTAGCCAAGTGTTTGATGAGATGGGACTCCTTGATTGCTTAGTTGTCCCGCAGCAATTGCCTAAATTAAGAGAGCGGGAGGGGGGGTGCGGGGGAGGGCGCAGCGCCTCCCCCGCAATCAGAACAAAGTATAGTCAGCATCCCGGCACTGAGAGCAAGCGCTGGAATTTAAAGGTCTGCGCCGTCGGACCGGCACCTTCCTCCTCTAAATTCCACCCCTGGTGGCTCACAAAAGGTTTGCGCCTGCCCCCTCTAAGCTTTACCCTCGTGTGGCTCACAAAAGGTATGCACCGTTGGAATGGCAACTGCGTCCTTTAAATTTTACCGCCTGGTGGCTCACAAAAGGTATGCACCGTTGGACTAACAGCTTCCTCCTCTAGATTGGACCCCCGTAGCAAGGTGCAGGTTGGCCACTTCATCCATCTTTGTGGCGTTGTCAATGCAAAGAAGATAGTGGTTTGTCGCGTAGCAATCGTGTAAATTAAGACAGCGCCTCCCCCGCATTGAATTTAAAACAAAGTATAATCAGAAAAAGCAGCAGCGGCTCGACAACAGCAACAGCAGCAGCAGCAGCAAAGCACCAAAGCTCACAAGCTCGGCGTCCACAGCCCTTGCTTTTTGTTCAGCTTTGGAGGTGTTGCGCAGACGAAATTGAGCAGCAGCAGTCGCAGCAGCAGCAGCAGTGGCAGTAGTAGAAGCAGCAGCAGCAGCAGCAATCAGCGGCAACGAGCAGCATTGCAGCAATAGCAGCAAGGAGCAACCAGCATTAGCGCTGCAGCAACACCAAGCAGTACAGGAAGGCGCGGCGCAGGGTGGAGTTGAATGGGGAGGCCGACTCATTGGAGGTTTCGACAAAGGCGTCTACATCCTAGGACTGAGGGAACAGCCCCCCAACGGTGCAACCTAGGGTTTGAATAGCGTGTCATAGGGTTCAAATAGTGTGTTTGTGGGTTGGAAAAGTAGGTTCAAGGGTGAAACAATAATGTTCTGGGGTGAAAACAAACAAGTTGGGGTTGAAAACATATGTTGGAGGGTTGGATAAATATCCAGCCCTTTGATGAGGGGCTGAAAAGGGCCACTTCATGTTGGCAACACACTCAATTGGTATAGTCATAGTCAACGAATTCCTCAAAATTCCTCAAAGTGTAAGTGCTGGCCTTGACAGCATCATTATAAATCAAGCAAGAAACCTTTTCAAGCAACGAGCAAAAGCAATGTAACGTTCAAACCTTGACTTCGTCCTATCTTTTTCCAATTACAGTGGTTTCAGAGTAGATGGCACAGACCCTGAGGTGTCCTTTAGATGGGGATCCATATAAACCACCTTTTGGGGATTGTGCCATCTACTCTCAATCCACTGTAATCACACTAGCAACACAACTCTTGAAAGATCTCACACAGTCTGAGGATGTCTGAGGCAGTTCTTTGACCCTACTAGCCGAGTTGTTTCGCTCCTTCTAAAATTCATGGCAGAGAGGCAGCATGTGTTCTTGATCTTCGAGCTTTTGCCGAAGCGGTCACACTCCTCCTTTGAGGCAGAAACATTCTCCAGTTTTTCGAAATGAACATCACGTTCTCCAAGCGATGTTCTCTCGCTCAACAAGCTCTTGCAACTAGTCTCCTTTGTCTGTAAAGCAAGCTCCCTTGTTGGTGCCAACACTAAAACAATCGGACCATCTCCCTTCACCAACTCAGGCTGTGCCTTAGCGTAAAGTGAAATCTGTGCGCTCATCTGGCATTCATTTGTACTGTACTCATTCAAAAGAAACACAACATATTGCGAGATTCTGCAATTCATCACAGTTCTGGTCAGGAGGCAAAAGTGTTGATTGCACCATCTAGGCACCAAGCATTGATGTGCACAATGGCTGGCAGCAAGAAAGCCAATGTCTTGCCAGAGCCCGTCTCTGCGATGCCCACCTCTGAAACCATGTTTGGGAATATTTTCCTGAACAAAACATCGAAAACAAATCCTTGGAGCAAGAACTTTTTGACGAGCAAAAATGAACATGCAGCAAGCGAACCATATCTCTGCCCGACAGCGCAATTGGCCATCCTTGCACCTGGATCGGCCTCGCCAAAAACGCCAGCATGAGGTGAGGAATGGCGGAGTTTCGATTAATTAAACATAATTTATCAACATAAGAGGACAAAGGCTGTGAAGTCAACACGAAACGAATATCTACCGGTTCTCCAAATTTGAGAGCTGCAGGGAACTCTCGAGCATTCTATCTTGAATTAGAATCTGAACGTATCCGCCCGAAGTTGGTTCTTCGAGACCTGTGGTTCATGCTTACCGAGTCCAGCACGTGGGTTCCTTGAAGTTTGCACGCTGGATCTCTGCCAGCACGTAGTCTGGGAACGAGGCCTGGACAAGGTTCAAGTCTTGTCTCATTTTCGGAGATCGATCTGTCAAAACCAGGGGATGCAGCAAGTGCGGGGATATTGTTTACTTTTCCTTCTAAGGCAGTATGGCCATGGGTTCCCACTTCTGAGACAGGGTCGTATTATATATATATATCAAATATATATCATATCATTATACATCATGTCATTATTGATTACCTTGGATGTGTGTCCAGCTTGGCCTCTTCAAATGTTCGGATGGGCTTCGGCACGTCGTTTAGGCAATGGACCTCAGACATTTCAACTGGGCCAGCTTCCAAGTCTCATCCTGTCTGGGACCGCTGCGATACTAATGTTCCTCTCAGCCCGAATTTTCTCCTTAGCCAAAGTAGTTTGAGCTGCGATAACAAAACATCCAATCACAGTAATCATCAGTCAGTAATCTGTGTTCAAGCTCATTGGCCCGATTGTAGTTCCAATTATGTGCAGTCCGAGCATCAGCCTCCTCATGTGACATGCTAGCGACTAGAGGGTGTTGCTGGTAGAAGTCCTAGCAGGCAACGAACATGAATATTTCATAGTTGTACCACGTGTCACTGGTTGGCATCAAAATTTGTTGCCGCATCTCGCTGTTGAGGTCGCCGGAGCTCTTCACATTATCGGACTGCTCTCCTTCTCAAATCTGGTCAGTCTCTCCTGCAAAACACAATTAAAGAAGCAGTACGAAGGGATGCCATGATGGGCCATGGGCCGTGGAGCTTGTAACAACATCAAACAACAAAGTCTCCTCCTGCCAGTTGATGTTGCGAAGGTTGGAACCCAAGTCTTTGCTGCTATAGCTGCCACCATAACCACCGCCGCCCCTGCAAGCAACAAGAGGTTCGTAAGTTCTGAATGACTGAAGACTGCCCCAGCCTCCGATCCCGGTCCCGGCTGCGGCTACGGCTTCGGTCATAACGACCTGGGCTGGCCATGCCACCCAGCACATCACCGACGCGGGGTATCTCTCTACAATTCGCAGGAATTACATTTTTACTATCATCCACTGTGTACGTCATGTATTTTACATATCTGGCTGCCGCTAACAATTGCTACAATTTCCCCAAATATCTGTGCAAACCCATCAAACACGTATTCACGTATGCAACTCTGTCTCTGCTTTGCTTGGTAAGGTGCTTGGCAGAAAACGCAAATGGACCATTTTCCAACACACGCGGAACAGGAGACTTGACACGGGCACAAAGCTTTTCTCATCAGCCCCGCAGGCCCACCTGGTACGAGAAGAATTGTGTGTGCATTCAGAAACATAAAAGTTGTAAGCTGTCAAAACAAATACCAGAATGGAAACCAAAAAAATCGTAGCAAAACGTATTTTTTCACTTTCACTTACTAAAATGGAACCTCACAAATTGGGTTTACAGGCAATCACAGTCAGGATGCCTCTGTTACTGAAGCCCAGAGACGCTCCACGCTGGAGTCTGAGTCTCCTAGCAGGACTTAGCAATGCAATTCGAACCCACAATGAATTGAAGGCTCCCCTTGATCCACAATTTACGGAATTGCTTATGGATTTGTGATTCGTGATTTGTGCTTGAATTATGGATTTGCTTTTCTGATCCACAATAGTCCACAAAGTATATAAGTTCTCCTTGAACCTTCAAATGCTATTTGACTTTGATCAGTAGTGAGAGCCCTTGAGCTAGACTAGACCAAGTCCCAAAGCTTGAGTGCTCCTTAAACCAATCCATTTACGGCGTGCCTGATAGAGAATTTGACACATGGAACTCGGCCGCTAGATCGCTCATGCTATGTGACATCAGTTCTTGCGACATCCTTTGTTGTTCCTGGTTTGAAACAGTCTATTCACCCGGTTTGGGTTAACTATGGTTAACTACAACTTGTATTAAGACTGAGACTTATTTTCGCATTGAATCGGAGGGCCTGGTTTGCCCAATTTGGACAAGTTTGAGCAATGTCGGTCTTATCGGACCAAAGGTCATGGAGTGATGAATAAATATGAATAAGCTATGTAAGGGTCACTTGGGACCAACCCATCGGCTGGGACGCGCTACTTTTTCATTACTGAGCTTTTGTCAAAGTCTTGCTGAACATGCTGAAATCTCCAACACTTCCCACACGCTCAAAGTTGGCGGCTGACTGAATCTCATGTCCTGCTTTGGGGTCATCAGCTTTCTCCAAAGAGGATTTGCTATCCTCTGAGATTTCTTCTATGCTTTCTAGGTGCGACGAAAGAAGTAAACGACCTGGCTTGCAAGCGATGGGCTGTAAACAGAACCACTCTGTTATGTGTTGCAACTAACCAATTGGTAGTGACTGGAAGTATAGTGTTGCATGATGTTGCATGCACACCTAAGAGTTTAGAGCCTAGGAGCAAGGACGCTACTAGGGGCTCCTGGCCTTACTACTAGGAACAAGGACGCTACGAGGGGCTCCTGGCATCGCTACTAGGAGCAAGGACGCTACTAGGGGCTCCTCACATAGACACTGCTTCCGGCCTCTCCGCACTTGTCGCACACTTCTCCTGTCGCACTTCAGGTGAATCTCCAGATAGGCTGTGATAGGACGAAGCAAAGTAGCAAGTAGCGAGCTGACACTAGAGAGGGACGCAAAAGAGCTCAGGCTTCCAACCTATTGGCAATGGCCACCAACCCAATAGCCATGGCCTCCAACCTACTAGCGATGGCCTCCAACCTAATCGCGATGGCTTCCTTGATTTTGAGGGAAACTTGCATTTTCAATGTCTGCGAGGCGACCCTCCCCTTTTAAAGTCTTGCCTCACATCTTCATCGTCTTCATCGACCTTGCTATTGGAAAGAGTTGTCTGACCACCAAAAAGGTAACGTGCACACATTAATGCACACTACATGTCTAAGTCTAAGATCAAATGACTTCATACTACAGCAACAATTAGATTGGAACCCGAAACTAGGGTGCAAAAAGAACATACCCTGTTCACAGTGTGCAATTTGCGTTTAGAGTGGCCGCCCCACCATTTTGCGTTTAGAGAGAAGTGCCTTGACTTCCATGCCCTTCAGCTCAGCTTCATCTTCGCCTAAGCGAGCGACTCCGGTACCCAAAAAGCGTTGATGAATTCTTCACAAAGCAAAACCACTGCTTGATTGGGCAGCCCACATTTTGCGTGTTTCACGGATTTGTGAACGGCAAGAGAATCGAGCACGATTTCAACAAACTCAGGACAGTCACCTCTCTGTCTAGTTGTGATCCAAAATACATAATCTTCCAGACCTTCTATCACAAACGATGGGTGACCGAATGCAGTAGCTAATCAGTCCGTGAGAGTTTTTGGCAATTTCACTGACACCAGAGAGCACAAGGAATTGTTCAAAACAAGTTGCTTGCAATTTGCACGACCTGCCTTTCCAAACTTTCACAGTCTGGCTTGGGCTGAACCACAAAGTGACCTCCAAAACCCAAGTCTGAGATGCACAGAAGAGAGGAAGAAAGGAAAACACAGAAAACACAGAAAACAACAGTGTATGTTTTTAAAGCTACTAAGCTTAAGAAGCCGATCGAAAGGGGGAGCGAATCGAGCGAACTGTGCCACTCAGTGACTCTCAGGAGCCAAAGAAGACAAGCTTGTGAACTCTATGTCCTCTAAAATCTCCTTGGTCTCCTTGCAGCAGGCTCTGCATCACGCTTCACTTTTTCAGTTCAATGGACTCTTCCAGAAGCATCATTGCACCGTATCGTTTGGTATTTCTTTTTGAAACAATACACAAACCTGTCCTCGTGCCTCTCTGCATGAGAAAGGTATTGTAGTTCCTTCAACGCCGACAACAGTGGTGTCAACTTGAGCAATCCATTGTGCGCCTACTGTAAACATGTTCAATGTCTTGTCTTGTGTTAATCTTGAACAGCAAACGCTGTCACATGCACTTTCAGTTCTAAATTCACACTAACGGCTCAACATCGTTTGAACCATGGTTTAGTCGCGGATAGCTATGCAACATGCCATCAATGCAAAAGAGTCTCTTTCAGTGAATTCTTCACCAGCTCGGAGCACATTTGCAACCTACAAAACACGTGCGAGGCGACGTCATTGTAAATGCGATGGTGTAGGTCGTTGGTTTTTGTTGAAGTGTGGGCCTCTCACAGGAGGGGTAGTCAATAGTAAGAAGTAGACTAGAAAGTAGCTACTAAATTACTAAATGCAAGGAATGCAGGAGACGATTCCTAGATGTTCCTGTGAAACTTTTCAGGGAAGTTACTGTGAGTCCCCTGACGACAGTGACAATCCTTCAAGCTTCAAGTTCCTCACCTCCGGATTGATGCCAGCAATTGCTCAGCTTCAGCCTGATCATGTTGCTCAGCACCAAAAAAGAGCCCCCACTCATGTCCGCATCGAACGTGGCTGCATCCACCCGCCTTTCCGGGCATTGAAGTGCCCATGCACCCCAAAGAGCTAATTAAGGTATCGCCACAAGGCTTGGAGAAAACTGAAGTCTGATTCATTCAACATGAGATGCACGTCTTTTCAACCATAGTGAAGACGTGGAGGCACGCAAACCCAACTGCTATGCCTTCATGTTCAATTTGATTGTAACAACTGTTTTGACATGTACCCTTCAAGAGTCCTCATGTTCTGCCAGGGTTGAGCCTAAACGGCTCAATGATGGTGATTGACACGATCTGTTCCATATATACAATTAAAGCAAGCTGTGAAAGCAAAAGAGCCGTTGCTGAATTCACATGACTTTGCCTCAAAGTGCCCAACCGCCATGTGACATTTGCCAAGTCTGCAGCAAATAACCTCAAACTCAAACAAATTCGGCAAGAAATCAACAAAAATTAAAGACAAAAGAAGCAGTTGAACAACAAAGCGTTAGCTAGAACACTTTGTCAACAAGTAAATCAACAAAGAAATGACAAAGTGCTTCAAAGCTCGTCGGATCGTCACGCAAATAGTCACGCTATCAGCCTGAAAGCTCTAGTGCCAAGCTGCAGTGAAGACGAACAAGGTCTTCGATAGACTTTCCTCGCAAGTCTCAACTGCTAAACACCAATGGAATCAACGGTGTTGGAGTTCCCTGTCCTGCTTGTTAGGCAGTCTTGGGTTGAAATATGTACTGAGCCAAGATGTAAGCACACCAATGAAGTCAAACACATCTTCACTTAAATTCAAAAAACGGTGTTCTGCTCTTCGCATTGTGATGTCTCTTCTCATATTTTATAAAGCCCATCTCAACTTTCACATCCGAGAAAATGTGCAAACATTTTGTCAAACCAACCCGACCATTTGATTTCATTCCGAAAACCGGAAATCAATTGACGACCACCCTGACCAACTCCCCAAAATCAACTGCAAAAACGTGTAATAGAAAAGAAGGCAAGTCCACTTCAATTAATGTTGGATCCCGATTAGTAATAGGGTCCGCTATAATGCTAAATTTTCCGAAGTAATTCTGGACACCATGTTTGTTTTAAGGGTCCTCTATCATGCTAAACTTTTTTTGGATCCTATTTTTTTGTTATCAGAAAAATCATTAAGAGATCTGTGAATACTAAGTCAATGGCTGGCTTGCTGAGAGTATTGATAAGTATAGGTTTCTCCAGTTCTTCTTCAAAGCCGCAAAGAACCTGAGAACCTTCTTTGTCCCCTTCTTAGTAGTATGAAAGGATTGCTGAGAATATCTAATTACAAAGAACCTGAAGAAGGAACATTAATACTACAATCAATTACAAAAGGAATCCTCCGAGGAACCCAGACTTGTTTCGGTGGTAGTTTATTGTAGAGGACCTCCCACTTGTTGGAGGGGGGATCCCTTTTACTAATCAGGATCCAACATTAAAGTACAAAATATAACTATGTTTGTATTTGACGACTGCCTTGTCCCTCCAAAATCAGTTCTCAGAACAAAACTTAACTCTGCAAAAAAGGGGGCATGAAGAGAAGGCTAGTCTGCCGCATGGACATTGTACTGTTCTAGCCTTCTCGGCTGAATCCAACTTGCATCAAGGAACACCATGCCAAACATGTGTTCCAGTTTATTATTCTGAGAACAGCAGTTTGCTATTCGCATTGTACATCATTGTACTGTACCATGCTTTTCATAGTATCCGAAAATATATTTTCAAACATGGATTCCACTTTGGGAACCCACAATGTTGTAATTATTTGACGACCGCCCTGCCCCCCTCCCCCAAAGTCAATATCCCTTAACTCAGCAGAAAAAACACACGAAAAAAGAAACACATAGTTAGTATGGAACGCGTACTGTTTTAGCGTTGTCTCATCTTATTTCCCCCAACGAAAACCTGCATCATGCCAAACATGTGTTTTGCAGGGTGTCCGTCTTCTGAAGACTGTGATATCCTTCTCATGTTTCGCCAATATCCAAGAAAGTATCAATGTCTTAACCAAATCGACGCCGAAAACAAATTATGTTGAAAATTCAAGACTGGTCTGCCGCATGGACATTGTACCGCTTTGGCCTTTTCGGCTCAATCCAACTTGCATCTAGAAACGTGTGCCGGTTTTCTCTTCTCATCATTCTTCTCACATATTGTTTGTCCCAACTCTTGTTGTTTCATGTTTGCAGCTGGACATCGGTTCCAGGCTACCTCTTTCAATGCCAAACAATTGTTTTTGACGACCGCCCTGCCCCCCCCCGAGATCCATTCTCAAAACATGATCTGATAATCTGACTCTCGGAGATTCTGCAAGGGGACATTGAAAAACAGGCTAGCTTGCCATATGGAAAAGGGTATTGTTTTAGTCTTATCACCATGCAGCCCAAATTCTAAAACATGCGAAACATCGCGAAGCAACCTGTTTCCTTCCTTCTTCTGGGAACAAACACACAACACTTAAATCTGTGGACGGGAACATACTATCATGAATCAATGAATATACTGTACTTGTGTGCTGTTTTGGCCTCATCTCCGCACATTGCGCTCCAAGTCTATGGACATCCAATGACACGAGTCAGGCAGTGAAACAATGCACCAGCAAATGCTCAATGCATGCTGGCGCTGTCCAAGCGCATCAGAAAGTTGCATGTCGCTGCGAATCAAGCACACCACATTGCAGGCTTTGTGACTGGCTGTATTTATTCATGCTTTGTCGCATGCAAGGATCAATCAGGATCACCAGCTCACCATGCATAAAATTTTGACGGCACGCAAGCAGCAAGTGTTTTTCACATGCAACCTGCACCTAAAGTGCAATCTCCTTCTACACAAATGGAAGCAAACCCGATGGATGCTTTTGGCAATGCCTTCTGGCAAGTTGCATCACGCTGTGCTGGAGATTACTGCAATCTGCACCACGTCTGTGGGAAGAGTGGGGCACCCTCACACCCCAAAATCTCCAGGTTGCACAAAAGGCCGCATGACCAAGATGCAGTCTTGCAGAAGGTCAAGGCCAATAACCAGTTCTCACCGATTCTCACCTGCAGTTTGAGATCTAAGGTAAGGCAATCTAAGGATCTCAAGGAGGAGGATGGATGCAAATGTGTCATGATGTGCCACATAAGTAATTGGCTGAAGCCCTGCGATGGTCGGTTGCTCACCGCAATTCCAATTCATTCAGCTGCCTCAAACAGTTCTACAAATTTGATCAAACTTGCATCACTCTACTACAAAATCATTGTGCTGTCCGGTGCTCAAAAAGTATGTCAGCATGTCCACAACTTTTATCAAATGTGTGCCGCAGTTGCCTTTCCATCTCTTTTATCTCTTCTGCCATCTTTGCCTTTGCAGCCCAGTCTGGCACGCCCCTCTCACAGAATCTACAAGAAAGGGCAACAAGCAAAGTCACTGTGACCCACGCCCGCTTGTTGGCCACCTCTTGCTGTTCAGCCGCCTTTTTCCTGTGGCGAAGGCTTTCTCGCTACCTTTGCCCTCGCTGGTGCAAAGAAGAAGGACCACTGCCTGGCCCCAGCCATGGCCATGTGGCTCAACCTCAAACATTTGTTCAAACTTGATTGACACGTATTGACGCAACGCGTATAGTCCATATAGTAGTGTAGAAATGTGTAGAAAAAACCGGTATGCATCATTTCCTTGCGGAATGGCATACCTAAGTGCCTTGCAGCTCCTGCTCTGCCAGCTTTCCCAACTCTTCTCGCTTCTCCCTTAGCAACGATTACCCATGATGCCTGACTCAAAAGCATGCGTGTTTTGAATGTGGGCTGCAAACCTCACAGGACCTCTGAGGCAAAGGGCTTGAGCTGCTTTTCGAGGCGTCTGGAGTAAAACAGTGATTCGTGTTGAATGAATCTCTGTCCATGATTGCCAACTTCTCCTTACCTCCACTCACTTATGCAGTACACTGTAAATTAGTGAACAGGAAATTGAGTCCCCGAATCAAACATTCCAAACATGCTTCTTTCAAGCTGTGCCCGCTGTGTGCCGCTCGCCTGATCTGACTGGCAGGGCGAACGCCAGTTCCGGGAATAATCTTCGTCAAGGATTCCTTACTATACAGGTGGCGTTCAAACTGCTTGGGTCAATAGCTTGACGAGCATGCTTCAGCTTCAAGTGAAACAACATCAAGCAGACTGAGCTTTGGACGTTTGCGCGGACTAGGAATTTCTTTTGGATTCGCTTCAGCGTTTGGTACTGCGGCGTCTCCTGAACCAAAACAAGTGTCATGGAAATGGCAACCTCCAATGCACAACTGGCCTTGCTGGATTGGTTCATGCTCCCCAAGTCCAGGAAGGACTCCGTTTCATAGAGCCAGCTACGGCTGCAGTGCACGTCCACAAAATCCCAAAGAAAACTGACTGAAGCACCCAAACCAACTGGCACCAGTACATTTAAAAACAGAAACAGTGACAGTGCGGGCCCCATCTCTATGGATTTGGATTTGCACCAATTCGCCCAGCAGCAGTCGTGACGCACATTTTGCATTCACATCCACGAGTAGAGATGGAACACATTGGATAAACATTGGCCCATCCGCGTCATTGTAAGCAGCCAAGACCGTCGACAGCCTTCAGGACATGTATATCGATGTCATGAAGCATGAGTTTCACAGTGCATCATTTGGTTTCAACATGTTTCACCAGTGGAATCTTGCCTGGTGCCGGCCGATCCTTCGGGTCATAGCGCAAAACAAGAACTGGGACTGGAGCCCCCAAGCTGTCGTTGGCCAAGCCTTGCAAGCACTGCACGCACTTCTGTCTTAAGTGGATCAGAGACTTGTTTCTTTCGGCAACAGGTGAAGTAGCTTCAGAGCTTCGTGCGTGGCCTCTATGCAAGGTACCGGAATCCAGCACCAGGGCATCTCCAGCAGACCAAACGTTGTCGGTCATCGCTAAGACACCACCATGCGTCGCACAAAGGCTTCGAAGACATCGCCGCCACCGGTCGCGGAGCCCATGGCGAGGATCCTCAGCTTTTACCACCAACACCCACGGGCGATTAGATTCTTCGGCTTGGGCGCATGCATCATCCGTGCTGACATGTTTGCGCTAGTTGTTTGTGGTAGGTGTCGCAAATATGTAAACTCGGGAAGAGCTTCAAAACCGAAAAGTCACCCAGGAAAGCGTTATATAAGAAATTTTCACTAAATTCGTTCCAAAAAATGACAAAGGACCCCCAAATCGAAGGGCCTCCTTTTCCATTTGCAAAACCCTTTCAAACAGTGATTCTTCGATATTCTTGGCTTGCAAACTTTTCATCAAACTAAAGCAACTAATGTAAAGATGTCAACAGGTGATGTCGCTATGCCGTGCGGTTTTGCGCGGCCTCGGTAGAAAGTGTATTTGGGTGGCTGTGTGCCATTGGGGAAGGGCGCACACGTGTGTATGGTAAATGTGGCGTCGCTAGTGAGGGGCACGATTGGTGGTTATTCTAGTGGGTGGGTGCCCTCCGCCCCCCTAAAAATAAGAGGGTGGGTGTGCTTGGGAGAGCACACACTAGCTCAAAACCCTTAGAAAACACTGTAAATACCGTGCAAAATTTCAATAACTGCTCTGAGAACTAGGCGAAAAGCAATTTTTATGATCTGTCTGTGCCCAGTCTCCATGTCCAATGTCAATGACAACAAATAACAGCTCTTCGTCTGCCCACTATCAATGTGCAACACCAATGATAAATATTATCAGGTAAATCTCTCTCTGCCCACAATGAATGTAGCATCATGAGCGAATGAAGATATATATATATATAATACTATACATCTCTAGATTCAATAGCTTTCCTCTCAATCTCTGGGAAAGTAGATTTCCTAGATTTTTGTATTTTCATTGAAGGAAAGCTTTTGAAAGAAACACTTACATACATACTTATAGCTTTTTTAAAATACCATGCCAATTTCCAGAGATCCAGAGGAAAGCTTTTGAAATGCAAGCTTTATCCTTTTTTCACAGAAGTGATCAGATCTAGAGGGAACCTTTTGAATTAGAAGCGTGTACATAAAGCAGTTTTAATATAGCAATGATTATTCCAAGGGATTACTTTAAACAAATACTATCTACTCAAAAACATAGTTTTTGTCTTATTCCCAGCACTCCTAGGGCAAAAAAACACTGTAAAATATAGGGTGTTGTAGCATGTTTTCTTAAACTAACTAAACTAGAAGTAAAATAGAATTAGGTAAACTTAAATTACAATATTTCAATGAAGATCCTTTTAACATTGATTGTGGAAATTGCTATTTAGTAGATATTAGATTGCAATAAAAATCCTTTCCAAGTTCTCTTTAAAACTCATTGTGGAAACTAGTTCTTACAATTAGATTTTAGTTAAAGTCCTTTTCAAAGTTAGTGGTGGCTTTGATTTAATATCAGATTGTGTTTAAAATCGATTTAAGATTAATTGTGGAAATTGTGATGCTTAACTAACTTGAATTGTGATGCAATTAATTTCCACAATCAATTCTAAAAGGGTCTTGATTGATATCCAATACACAAGCAGTTCAATCAAATTATGTTGAAACGAAATTAAGCTAAAATCTAAACAACAAGCAATTTCCACAATGATTTTGAAAAGGACTTTAATTGACATTTAAGTAATGACTAATTTCTACAATGAAATATATATAATAGGATTTTAATTGAAATCTAATTCAAAATCAATTGCCACAATGATTTTGAAAAGGAATTTAACCGCAGTTGAATTACACATTCATTTTTCTATAATTAATCTTGAAGAAATTGTAATTGAAATCTAATATAAAAATCAATTTCCCCAATGATTTTGAACATGATATACATGAAACTTGTTGAAAAAATCTACAATTAATCTTAAACACATTTTTAATAGACAGCTAATGATAAATCAACTTCCACCAATAATTCTGAACGCGTTTTAAGTAAAGTCCAATACCAAAATCAATTGAAATCCAATTTAAAATCAAATTCCACCGGTAAACTTAAATGAAGCAATAACACTGTGTTTTAACAGTGTATTTTTGCTAAAACCTCTCCAAAATTGAGGTTTTGAGCTATTTTTTGATCAATTTTGTGAGATCCAAGCCTATCCCAGTTTAGAGAGAATACCAAAAAAAACAAAAAAACAATATATAAACCAAAAAAAGAAAAAACAATGTTTGAGACAAAATGGGGGCACTATTATGTTGGCTGCATTTTGTCTCAAGCATTGTTTTTTTTGGGTTTTTTGGTTTATTGTTTTTTTTGGTATTCCCTCTAAACTGGGATAGGCTTGGATCTCACAAAATTGATCAACAAATAGCTCAAAACCTCAATTTTGGAGAGGATTTTGCAAGAAATCACTGTAAAACACAGTGTTTTTGCATCATTTTTTGCATGAAAACCATCTCCCAGGAGCACCCATTCTGAAAAATAAACACACAGTAGTTTAAGAAGGCGGTATATAATATAAAGACAAACTTAACTATACGTATATATATATATATATTTGGGGGGTCTCTGACATGAGTCGTTTCTAAATTTGGGTAGCGGTAGTGATGTTTAACAGGTGCTCCGTTATATACACAGTATATATTCAGTATTGTTAGACCAGCCTTGTTGCAAAATGTTGCAAACGTATAGTATAATGATGCCTATGTACAGAATTACACACATGTACTTTGGGTCTATCCTATTACCTGTAACAGTGGATGACGATGGTTACTAAAGGCCTTGTTCAAAAATAGCAATAATTGTCTACTGTTACAGGTAATAGGACAGACCCAACATGTACTCACACATATGTATGCATTGTCAGAACCATGAGCCTTCACTGTTCACAGTTGCCACAAATCCACCCGCAAAAACTTCAGTCCAAGCCTCATGAAGAACATGCGTGCCAGGCAACAGCTCTTGCAGCCCCCGGTCCAGCGCAACGTTTCCCAAGGGAATAAAAATGGAGAGTCCTCTGAAGGCCACAAAAGCGGCGAAAGGCCAAACCCAGAAAATGTACGAGTTCAGAAGATCAACTCAATTTCGCGACAAGCATGTCCTTTGCCAGTAGCAGACTCAATATGCCATTGTTGAGTTTCGGCACACGGATCTGCAATGACGAGCTGTGCTTCTGACAGGAAGATGGGGTTACCAGCCATGTCCTTCAGACATATCAACAAACACGAGCACAACCAGCCAAACTGATTGAAACGCAAGGACATAATGCATTTGCCAGTGTCGCGTCCACGAAGTCCCACGAAGAACGCCGTCGTGTTTCTTTGAGGCGTAACATCTGTAGCATTGCTACGTGTCCTGAATCTCAAAGTGCTTGTGAACCAAGGGTGCCACTGAAGCATGAGGTGACACGGCGTCCATCTCGTACTGAGGTGATCCTGCAAGTGCGCTATTGTCTAGCAGCCTAGCATGTCTGTTGGAGTGCTGCATTTCTCAACCACATGTTGAGGCGACAAGGCGACTCAAGCAAATCACAATCAACACGAATAGATCCCCCTCGTGTGGCCAGCGATAATTGTATGGCCGCAGCACGTAGCACGTAGAAAACAAGAAACCACGGACGTGATATTATATGGATTGTATTTTTATACCTGTACGAACATGCCCCGGAATCCCGCAATCCCCCGTCTCAGCAAGTGAGCAAAGCCTATGTAGCTTCCGTGTACGAGTAGGACCTTTGACTTGGTAGGCACATATATGCCCCGAGGCATCTCTGATCTGACCACCACCCAAGCCATCCCGATAGGCTTTGGAGGGTTGAGGGTTTCTATGGACTCTAGTTCTTCTTTCAATATGTCTAGGGGCCTTGGCAGCAAAAACAGCTGGGCAGGATTGTGCAGGAGAAACTGACCCAAGATTCTGGCGGCCTCGAAGCAGGAGATGAAGCCGGCCATAGGTGTAGCGACCCATGGAGACGTTCGGATCTTGCTGTTGCCTGCTGCTGGCAATTGCGGCGCTTGGCTCTCCTAGACTCGAGCATCCTCCAACCTAATTACTGTACTAGCAATGGAGCCTCAAACCTATTAGCGATGGCCTCCAACCTTCAAAAGGCCAAGGCGCTGCCAAAGGCCAACTTCAGCTGCCCGGCGTGGCGGAGCCCTCTTGTCTTTGCAATCGAGGCCCAACGCACAGCGAAGCGACTGCACGTCCTGAGGTTCAATCGCAAGAGAGTACCCTGAACCCCTAAGCAAAGTGCATCACTGCAAATGTGGTTTGGCTTGACAGGTTCAATATTTGTCAAGGAGAGCATCTGATACGCTAAACTGAGATCTTCACCTCCGGAGTCAATAAGCCACGCAGTAGCACGAAGCCCCATGTGTCCAAAGCCTGTCACAGCAACTGATAATGCAGCCATTGCACCCAAATGTCTCACATCCAATCCTAGCAAAGGATTAAACAAAACGGACTTCAACATCTCAAACACAAAGTAGGATATCTGCCAAAACCACCGAGAAACGAGAAGGACATGATTCAGTGATTCAGTAGGGTCCCTTGTTAGGGCCCAGCCCACTTTCAACCCAGCTGCACAGGTCAGGAACTGCATTGACATGGCTATCGCTGGAGGCAGGTCTAACATCGTTTAATATATATATATAATATACACTCCCGCAGACTAACATGGACCCTGACAATTCACCCATGGAAGACCATGGTTTTGGGAGCCCATGTTAATCTGCAGGGGGTACTATACATTGTTTTTCCAGGTTTCGTCTAAGATTCTATGTTTCACGACTGCTCCAACTTTACAAACTGTAGTCATGTCTGGCTCTGGGGTTGCCCGTAAATTGGCACAAAAACAAGTAAATAGAAACAACTACACAGCAAGTCAAACATGCTAGATTCATGTTATAGTTTATCAACTGGATCCGGGGTGTCGACCGTGGCATGGCCTTCTCACTTTGCTGCAGCATGTCCTGGCTCCAACTCACTGGTGATGTAGCAGGAGCATCGACAGAGCCTCCCAAAAGTGATGTCAGTAGAAAACTGATGATACTGTGTCTTGCTCAATTCATGCAGGCCTTCTAGAAAAAAACAAGTGACGAAAGCATGGCCTGTAGTCACTGTAGTCTTTCCATGGAGTGGCAAATATGGTGGAACCAGCAATCCAATGTCAACTCCTTGTGCATCACTGGTCAGTCGACGACCTTGGCACTGAGTTCCCTGGGGTCATGGGTAGTCTGGACCAAGTCGAAAGTTTAGGGCTGAAGTCTTGACCGAAGAGAGTAGCTCGATCGATCGCAAGACGCTTGGGGTCAAAGTAGCCTTTCTCCTGCTAGGGTATCGGCAAGCTTTTACATACGCCGAGCCATTCATCAAGAGTTGCAGAAATGCTGCCAACAGCCCTGATCCTTCTTCAAAACATTATCATGTATGTCCACTGCATGTGGCAACTGACAGTAAAGGCTCCTTCCACTTTGCTGCCAATTCATCCTCTCTGGCATGGAGCTTGTCCTTCGGCAATCCCAAAGCCTGCAAAAAATATGTCACGTCCTTTAGCAACAGTCATATACCACCGTATAAACCAATAGAATCGAAACTCATCTCTCCCCAAACGCATGCATCAATCACTGAATGAAATTATCCAATTCACATGTACGGAGCTAAGAACTTGGAAGGCGGGCACTCTTTCTTTCTTTATTTATTTGTTCTTTGTTGGCAAACCTCGCTAGATGCAGCTTTACTTTAAATGTTAATTTTGTTGCTTTCATTTCTCTTTATGTTGGAGCAAGTTGTCTTTATTCGGTAGACCTCTTAAGCCTGCTTGTGCTGATCTTTAGGTGGAAGTATCGTACGAGTTTTTCAGGTATGGGATTGGAATCAAAGAATGGCCCAAAGCTCCGGATCCTCTGACAATTTAACAAGAACAGGCCACCTGGAGCGTTCTTTTGGGAGACATTTCCACATTGGGAAAAGGGATTAGGAATGTTAAAAGGGCGCTGTTCCGTGGCTTTTGTGTCTTGAGTCTTGATTGTAGTTGAACAAGGAGGTAAAAAAGGAGACGGGGGCTCCAACAATCCAGGGGCGCATCGGTCAGTTTGTTTGCGTTTCTCCAGGGTGGAGAGGTTTTGCTTCAATTATGCCATCTGGATGCCAGTGACGGTGATCATGATATTGCCACACGAAAAGGCAATCTCTAGCAAAGCACCAAATGGCCAAACAAAAAAGCCAAGTCACATGAAGTTCCTCCAGCTGCTGCTCCACAGGTCTTAGCCTCGCAGGCTTCTCTTGGATGCATCAGTACGCTCCGCACTTTGCTCCGAAAACGGCTTTGTGCACCTTTTGGCTGCAGCCCAAAAGTCTTCTTCCTGGATTTGGTTTCGTGCCTTGGTTCAGGGCCCAGCCTTAGCCTTTACAATTCTACAGAATGGCAATTGAAAAAACACACAAACGGGTTTCCGGAACCCAGAGCTACCAGGCCACACATACACTGCGAACAGATGCCAAAGCCGAAGCTGCAGAACTTGATGCCTAAGCGCGAAATCTCCTTTCGCAGTGCTGACTTAAGCCACCATCCAATACCAAACAAAGTGAATCAAAAGCTTCTGAGCACTGTGCCCCCGAGCTTCTGACCTTGGTTGCGGTATTGAACTACACACATGTTCTTCTGCAATCGGTAAAGAGCAGATTTGCGGTCTCATATTGTCAGAGTGATTGAAGAACAACACGAAGCCACATACTCTAATCAATGACAATGAAGAAGTCTTCCTTTTCCGGCTTTCAGCCTGTCAGCTTGTGAGAATGCTAGAGGCATTCTTGCAGGCGGCTTCCCCCAAGCCGAGCTGCAACCCTACATGCGGACCAAGGATCTTTGAGGTAAAACAAGCACCAAACACATCTCAAGATCATGATGGATCCCCATATCCAAGTGAATCCAAATGGTAGCAATCACAAAGAACATCAAAGAACACGCACACACACAGAAGAGGAACCAATGACCTGCCCAACGCATCAGAACATGGTCCATGCACCCAAGAAATCTCTCATGTGGATCTTGCGGCGCACGGAGTTGGTGTGGCCCTCGATGTACTTTATCACCAGCATTGGCGCGCTCTCAATCTGTGAAGCTGTCACGGTCTTGCTTTCCTTCCAGCTCCTGAGGGAACACTTGCTGAGGTCTTTTTCCTTGGCAGGCTTCACCGCATTCTTCTTCACGGGCTTAGCTACTTTCTTCTTGAACAAGCCTGGAATTTCATCGTCTCCATCTTCAGCCCCACCTTCTTCCATCGGGGAATCAGCTTGCGTCGATCCAAAGCTGCGTCTCTTGGAGCCAGCCTCATCACCCTTCTTGCGCCTCTTGGGCATAACAGGCTGGAGAGAGAGTGCTTGAACTTCTTGCAGCAATCTTGTCCTGATCTGTGTGTCAATCTTCTTGTAGGTGTCTTCCAGCTGCAGTGGTTGTCTCAAGGCTGGCATCTGATCTGTGAAGAATTCCCGCGTGAGGCCATAGCAATGAAGCGCATCTGCACACTCTTTGGTTAAGCCCTTCTGCAATACTTGCACCAATCTCCGATAAAGAACATCATGGAAGTTGCCGGTGACAAACTCACGACTCCCACATGTACTGTGATGTCTGATCTTGGCACTTACTTCTTGAAGGATGCGCTCATTCTTGGAAAACGTGCTCCGTTTTTGCAACCATGCTGGAAAAGCAGGCTTGGGAAAGGCTTGGTCCCTACTGGCCATCAATGCTGATGGGTAAACTGTTCCCAAGAATGCCGCTGTTCCTCCAAGTTCAAAGTTGCCGGACATAGCATCAGCGGTTGCAATCAAAGATGATGCTTGTGCTGCACGGTCCAAGGCACCATCGGCATTGGCAATTCGCTTCTCCGAGGGTCGAAGGTAGTTCTCCTGTCGAGGTTCGAGAAACATATTAGGACCAATTAGATAAACATATCTGTAGCTAGTACAGCTTAATGCAATTTCGATGCGCTGATACCAAAACTCTTTGTACCGAAGCTCTCTTGAGTGTACGCTCTTGAGTGTAGGCAACCTGAAGAGACTTTAAAGATCTTTGATTAAAGAATCATGCTGGATTGAACTTGCAAATGCTGCGTGTATCTACCCGGTGATTCCTCGACCATACCCAGTATAGCCTAGCCTATACCAGGAACGAGCGACTATTATAAGGGGGTTTGGTCGACTGTACAAAGATTTTTGTTGTTTCTTGTCGCCTACAGTAGGACGATATGAAAAGCTATGCCGAGAAAACATGAAAGCCTATACCGGGAAATGGGCCCATTCCATGGACAATTCTTCCAATGTTTGTTCATACGTACAATATTCAGTGGAGGTTTCGAGGCCAGGTAGCAAAGAGACTTCCAATTTTGATAACTCGGCTTGCGAGCGACAAAAGTCTTCTTCATTCAGCTGCTCATATAGGCAAAACGGCCAGCCACAGTAATACTTTTGGGGTGCATGTGCTGTGTTTTGCCATAGAGCAGTCTGCCACATTTGTTACAAAATGTGGACAAGCTGTGGACAAACCGTGGAACGACCATACCAGGCACGTGGAACGACATACCGGGACGTGGAATGGACGTACTGAAACATGGACTGGACAATCCATATTATTTGCACTAAAACTATATATAATTGTATAACAATGTAAAAATCTAAATATATATATATATACAGTAATTGTTTTGGCTTCAAAGGAGTTCAGTTCAAGATATGTTTGACGTCGACATATCTTGCAGTGTGTGTGTGTGTGTGCGTGTCTGTTTTAGAATGACACTGCAAACCGAACGATACCAACAAAATCCACAAAGCACAAATAAACCAACAATAGGGAAGGAGGCCATGAATTTTAGGTCGGAGGCCATTGCTTCTAGTATGCCAGTTGCCTTGGTTCTTGAGAGAAGAAGGTTGACTGCACCTCATACATGGGTTGACTGCGGAGACCCAAACCTGGGACAGTGAGGAAGCCTGTATACTATACTGGGAAACCTCGAAGGACGATACGGGGAACACCCTAAATTCTGCACCAAGAAATGCCCCAGCATAGTCTGGCAAACCCTGGTATAGGCTAGCAGCGAACAACTATACCAAGCATAGTCTATGGAAGCATAGGGTCGAGTCTAGCTTTTCAGATCATGAATGCAATAGTTCTCCAAGTGTCCAGCGATGCTGGACAAAATTGGCAAAATTAGCCCAGCTACAGCAATTCGCCCCCGTGTAGTCTTGTGTTTGTGCGAATTGATTCCGACAGCATCTCGCAACTGTATGAAAAGACCTGGGTGTGAAGTTTATCCACCTGGCTTCAGGATTTGACACACTTCGGGAACTTGGCTGATTCAATCTGTGATTCGACCATTGCTTTTGCTCCTCTCCTGCACCATAATGGGCAAGAACTCTGCGTCCACGAAATGCAGGTCGAGGCGCTGATCGATTGAAAGTCCGTTCCGGTGGTAGGAGAGCAGCCGGGAGCATGCATCCCAGGTGCTCACCATCACTTGTGTGTCTTTCTGATTTCCACCTGTCATGGAGCCAAAGAATTGCAAATGGTTGATGACCTGACGAAGGTCTTGGCCACAAGCTTCCACAATGGCTTCGACAGCTGCGATCTCAACCTTCCTACCCTCGGTTTGCATGATGCTCTTGATCCGCTTTGCAACCGTGGCATTGTCAGGCCTCTTGAATCTCAAGTCCAAACAGTGGTTGGCAAGTTCCCGGACCTGCTGGTCTGATCGGTCGTTGCAAATACAAATCACCGGGTTCTTTGTGACCTGTATCAAGTTGATGAGAGCTTTCACTCCGCCTTTGTCACCACCTGTCATTCCATCACACTCATCCATGATAATCACGCTTTTGCGCAAACTGCTTGAGCTACCAAAGCTCAAGGTCTTGTTGCCGGCCAGCGAGTTTGTCATGCTATCGATGATGGACTTGTTGCGAGCATCCGAAGCGTTGAATTCCATGACATTCCTTTTTGAAGTCTTGGCTACCAGTGTGCAAGTTGTCGTCTTGCCGATTCCAGGAGGACCACTCACCAAAACTGCCCGAGCATTCAGGTTCTCTGGTGGAGGCTGGAACTTTTTCATCGTATCCGAGGGTGGGGGTGGCAGCTCTTTCTTCTTTCCTTTGAGAACCACATCATCCCAATCCCTGAGCCATTCGGCCAATTTGCGAATCTGCTCTGTGTTACCGACCACTTCGCCCAAGTGTCGGGGCCTGTGCCGGTCCGACCAAGGTACCTCATGCTTCGCCTTCGACTTCAACGGCGCCATGGAGCCGGCCTTGGCGTCCTAGACACTGCTCCGAGCGTTTGTGAAGAGCGCTTGACTCGATTATATCTCGTTATCTTCGCTTACGCGCCTGTGAACTACTTGAGTCTACTTGCTTTTGGGAAGTTGCAAGCGATTAAGTATCTGCTGCTGCCTACTACCTAGTTTCTGGTTCAGGGTTCTCCGGCAATTTCCTGTCCTACTGGCCACGTCATGAATGATATATCACCTTCTTGTGCCTAAAATGGACGGCACTGCACACATCAAGAGATGTCGTGAGACTGCTTTCAGTTAGGGTGTGTTCACTGGATGTGAGTCCTCTTGCTGTCAATCCTTTCAACAATTCTCAGGCAAGCACATCCAAAGAGGCCTCCCTCCACACATCAACAGGGGTTTCGTATTGCAGCCTCAGCTGATATATCTTGCCACATGGCCACCAAAATGCAAAAACACGCACAATTGATGACACAAAAATGTATTTATGTAATGATTATGTTACGTCTATGCACATTGTTTACTTTCTGTCTTTTTTGCGTTTTCTGTTTGGTCTCTGTTCGTTTTTCCTCTTTGGGCTCCACGTTCTCTTCGCCTCTCGGAGGCCCAACGCCAAGCCCACGGCGCCAGCAGAGGCGCCGACCTCAAAGGTGGACACAGGATGTAAACGGCTCGACGGAGAAACAAATAAGAAATAAACAATTCAAACGCACAAAACATAATAAAACCGTGTTCTGTGCAATTACTCTCGTGGCGTTCTCGTGCTGATACACCGGTGCATGTCTAGTGTCATGAGACCGTGTGTAAAGAGACATCTCATGCTTGAATCAGCCGGGAAGAACAATCCTTCACGAATGGTTTCGGGGAAAGCGTGGTGACTCCAAGCCAGGTGCCCTGATTAGGGGTGTTGACGTATGTGATATATAAGTGTATACTTGTTGCGTACTTGCAAAAGTTTTGATAAACGTTGAATGTTGCAAAACAAAAGCAAACTTAAAGAAAAAACAAGTACATACATGTACGCACGCATATATCTATACCAATATCAACACACATATTCATATACACACACGCCTATCTAATATGTGTAAATTTACACATACATTATGTATTTACAAAAGGCTATATATAAGCATATAGAACTACTTTAATATATTACGTAAATGTTTTTACATTTAGACTACTCGTGAGGACCCCTTTTTTGCTGCATTCTTAGCTTACCCCAGGCTGCAAAGGGCCTAGAGGAGCTGAAGACAAGGCTTGACCAACACGCATGACCATGTTCATACTTTATGTTCCGACTCCGACTCTTGTATTGATGCTCTCGCGCTCAAACTTAATTTTGTTAACTACTCTCATGGTGATGCTCTGGCGTTGCTACACCGGTGTATGTCCAAAGCATTAACCGTAATTCTTGAACCTGCCTTGCAGAAATACCTTTTGCGAATGCTCTTGGGGATAGCGGCTGTTCCCAAGCTGCGCCCCTGGTTAGTGGTGTTGACGTGTAAAACATAAAAACAATATATTTACAGAGATCGAAAAACATGTCACACATGTCAAAATATATCTAAACAAACATACATAATTGTTGTGTGTACATATGTATATATACATGTGCATGCATATATTATATGTATAACAATATCATATCCACACAATTATACACACACATACAAGATATATATATATATCTATGAATATTACAGTACAAATGCGGGTCCACTGCGGACCTGCGCAGCCCGGGGGCCCACATTCGGCGCGTGCCCCCTTCCTACCCTCACACGAGGACCATGACCCTGAATAGACCGGGAGAGCAAGAGACACGACATCACATGTGTTGGCTCAAACCCCTTGACTAAACACAGTAGATGAGTAATGAAGTGCAGTGCATAAAACAGCAAGCACTTAGTGTATGAATGAATGATGCAAGTCGTGACTTTGTAGAGAGTGTACTTTCAACAAAGCTGAGCGGTCAACCTGCCCTTAGAAGCCCCACGCTACAACCATTGGAATATATATATAATATCCAGGCATGAAGAGCCATGTTCACGAGTATTTAACTCTATATACATACCAAAAAACAGTCCCAACAATGTACCAGCAGTCATGGTCATACTTTTGGGGTGTCCGCGAAGGCAATGTCATGAGGGCAAAGAAAGGCCCACCTTGTGCTTACGTCAAAGGCACATTGTAAGACGACTAAAGTAAAGAACTGACTCTTCAAGACTACGTGTTTTCAATGGTTGCATCACCCTCTCCTTTTTCCATGAAAACTCATAGGGAGAGAGGCCTGTCCAAGAAAGGATTTACACGCGCGCGACCAAAAGTTAAAGCCAAGAAACAGCTGCGGCAAATGCCCTGCCTTCTTGGAAGGTATTTGCATGCGTTAAGCAACACCTATTCAATGCTTTGAAGGGGCACCAGGAACCTTGACCTGTGCATTTGTCAAGAGTCCTGTACACTGTACAAGTTAGTGTTACCCAGCACTCTTGATTTGATATTTGTTTCAGACTCATTTAGCTGCTCCAGTTGCCGCTGGCACCAAATACTGTCCTCAAAGGATTTTCAATACTTGTTGCCAATCAACAATCTTGAAATGTAGTATGTTCCACAGCTTATTTATCTCCTCTATTGGTGCATCTCTTTCCCTGATTAGGCCCTTCCTTTGTCAAACTGGTTTGTCTAGTCTTCTCCACGTATGTCTTTCTATATTCTCTACTGCTTGACTCTTCTTCACATCTTTCATTTCTTTTCTTGTTCACAAGCTGCCTTTTCTATGACCCTGAGAAGCACACATGAAGCAAATAGAAGACATAGAGGAAACTCTGCCAAAGACAGCAGGGTTGATTTGATTGCGCGCTATCGTTGCGATATTTTACAACCCTTCCAAAGACACGCTATTGTTGCATTAATATGCGTCCTACTGTATTGCTCTCGAACTTCAGCTACCACTTTGCTTCAACAGTCACCCTCCCTTTTTTGGATAAGTTGCTATTGATTGTAGATGAAGCCTTGGCAGAATATTATAGATTTCTTAGACAAATTCCAAAGTTGCGACCCTTACAAAGGGCAACCCTCTATGAAGATCGAGGATCTTCCTTAATAGTGAAGACCGTGCTCATTGGTGTGTCTACGGTTGTACGGCTCAAGTCTTATCAAGGTTAAGCCCGGCAAAAAGGACATTTTCCTTGTATGATAGAAGGTGGGGAGCAACTGGTTTATTTTTATCGGGCCAAAGTCTTAACGTACAAAGGCGAGAAGCATTAAATGATGGAGGAGGGTTTTGGGATAGGGTGGGATGCATTTTATACAGTCAGAGTCTTATCAAAGATGAGAATTGTACAAAGGGGACAGCAGTGTTTGATAGAGGAGGGCCTTGGGTGAAGCAGGATACTAGTACGTAGGCGTAGAAAGGAAGATGTGAGCCCAAACCATTTGAAGGCACTTTCGACATATACTTGAACAGGAATATCCAATCCAATCGCTACAAAGCAGGACATTATTTAACTTATATATATATATACATTTAAAAGAACAGTCGTTAATTTATGTCAGACTATCAACTGCACCGTCAAAAGTGCTAAGAGAGTGCACTTCCACGCAACAAATATTTGCAAGTGTCAGCTACGTGCTTTCTGATGCTGTCTACTTCCTAGTTATTATTTCTCCCGAGCCTGCGAGGATGCTTTTCCAACGGGGTGATGGCTCAGTTGTGTGAAATTTTGATTGGGATCATGTTGCGTTCTTTGGATCAGGGTTTTTTTGGTTTCGGGACACTCAACAGCTCGTCTTGGAGTTAATGAGCGCCAGTACAGTAAGCTGAGCACATTGTAAAGACCATTCAAAGACCACTCAGTCAAATCCTGGAGTCTTTCCAGTCCCCCACCTGGCCGATGATCTGCAACTCAAGGAACCTTTTACGGCACGACTTCAGTCCTCTTCCCAATTGAGACATGACAGCTCACTGTAGATTTGAGCTGGCGGACAAGTGTCTTGCTGTTTAGTCTCACAGCCTCTAGCATTGAGTCCAACCCTGGATGTTGGCTGAACCACAAAGCTGCGAGGCCTTCAACGTGCTCTCGTTGTGTAACAACGTCGGTCCAGAAACGCAATGTTTGGTTTGCGCAACGAGTAACACGAATGAAACTGTCCCCAGCCCCCCCAACCCCCCTTGAAAAACCCTGTTCGCTGGTTGGAAACGTTTGCTTGCCGTCAGGGCAACCCCCCCCCGTTGACCCACCGTTGCTTGTGAAGGGTGGAGCAAAAGCAGCGGGTGTTGTGAATCCTTATAGCTGCAAACAGCAACATGAACCATCTTACATATCAGTCTAGAAACTATGTTTGACAAGAATTGAGGATGCGTGTTGAAAAGAAGGGGCATTCAAGTTCAATACAAACAAGAGTCACATAATCAATAGCTTTTCCACACGCTACACCAGTGCAGGGGTGTTCATGCCTGGCAGCCAAACATTTTCTCTTCTATATGGCCTGTGGCACACCTTAGTCTCAGGCAACGCCTTTCGCTGCAATGATGGCGCTTCGCTTCACGACCGGGTTGGCCTGTCTTTGGCAAATCTTGGCAGCATCTTCAAAAGGGATTTCCCACAGCCATTCCTTTCCAATCAAAACATGATTTGTTCTTCTGTGCATGATCCCTCAGGTCCTCAAGCCACCGCTGCAAATGGCGCCATGCCATGGGAACCCTCTTCCTCCCTGTGTGAGCAAAAGAAGTTGAAGTACACCTCTCGCCGTGCCTAAAGTTTAGTGCAAGTGAACTGCCTCCGCTTTGCCCTACGAGAGCGATGATTAAGGCGAACCCGACAACAAGCCTAATTGTGGGCCCCGTTAGTTCCAATGAAAGAACGACACTATATAGACCTACGCCTACAACTTTTAATGCCTTACAACTTATATACAACAAACTTATAACGTCATATCATATCATATCTCTCTTCATCCTCTGGCCTACAGCCAAGCAGAACAATGACAAGAAACATCAAGACACTGAAATTACATAAAGCATGTATAAGCAGAATCCACGCAAGAGCTACGGTACCACAGAATGGGCACAAACAGTTCACTGCATGACAATGTGTCATCAGCATTGGGGTCAGTAAGCAAGTTGAAGCACTCTGGATCCGGCAAATGTCTATGGTACGTATGCTCTAAGATGCTATCCTACTAGTGTCAACTCTGCTTGCTGATTGTCCAAACTCATTGTGCTTGCCACCGCAAAGGTGCTCGAGCCATGCCGGGAAACTTCTGCCCCCAATGAAAAGTTGCTGAGGTGTAGTGCGCTCAAACACCAGCAAACATTGAACAACAGCAAACCAATTGGCCTGTTTGTCCACCACTGATGGCATCCCCGCACTGTGCGAGGGAAATTTGCATGATCGCATGCTCCCCCAATTGCAGGCCCAAAAGGTTGTGCTTGACTGAATGCTGTCAAAACCTAGCATGGGGATAGCTCATGCACCATCTAGCATCGGGTAAGGTGAAACGAAATTGAGGTCCGGTGCCAAGAGCACCCAACCCCTAAACGACAATCTGAGGAAAGGGTCGCACTCCGCACCTCGGCAAAGAACACCATGCATTACTATCAGAAAAATTACGCATGGCATCGCATGGCACACTTCATTTGCACAAAAACACAATGGGGTGCCGACTTCAAGAACACATCTTGGTCCAAAAGCACTTTTGCAGCCACTCTAATCATGGTGCAAACCATCACATTCTTCACAAAGGGGCCCAGGTACTCCTGTGCTGGACTACAAATGCTTGGCAACATGATAAGCAACTGAACATACCAACAGTCTGACACGTCAAATGCAATTGCAATCAGTTGTCAAGGTCCATATAACCATTCTACAGTAGTGGGTTTAGCCTGCTTCTGGCACAAGTGCCAAAGACGGCTATCCAGCTTCAGTGCCCTTGAGTCCGAACAGATCAAAAAACCGGCGTAAAACGCCTGGCCTCATTGGCAGTGGCTGAGAATGAGGCGTTGAATTGCGAGAGCACACCAGACTCAGAAAGGAAGCCGTAGGTATCGCCTCCATGACCAACGTAGGACCCCCAGCTCCCCATCACCGGAGGGTAAGTTGCATTCCAGCTTGCTTGCCTCATGGACACAAGCGCACACACACACACACACACACACGGGTTCAAAGCTAATGATATCCAACATTGGCGCAAAACTGTTGGGGATGGAATAACAACCTAAAAACCAAACAACTGCTTCGCTCTTTTTCATATTGCTCTCCAATTTCTATGACATAGCCAGTGGTTCCTTTTGGGATCCACTCTTTGGGCTTTTGGCTGAGTTCTGAGATGCTGACCTTCGGAATGTCTTGTCTTTTAACACCCGGCTCGCTGCAATGGTTTTGGTGGTACTTGCAGTTCTGTTTTCTAGGGGGAGGGGGCGTATCACACGGATCACTGCAGATCAATGCCCCACATTCATGTGGACCCGACGACTTGCTGGTGTCATCGACCAAAGTCTTTGCCACTTCATGTTCGTCCATCTTAGCTTGCTGTGGTGTGCTGGAGCGAATTTAAGATATAGCGGTGAAGAGTGGCTAAAATGATCACAGGCTCCGTAGGCTTCTTCACGTCGAGCGTCTGGATCATCAAACCAGTTCCATATTGGATCATACCCTTTGCCCAGCCAACGTTCAACGGAGCGAACTCCTGCAATTTCCCGTCTTGAAGAGTTCTGCAAGAAGAAATTGAGGTGTCTTTCGATTTCATGGTCTGGATCATTCTGGATCAAACCATGACAGTTGTAAGAACTGTGACAAGTTTCGATTACAACGTGTCTGGCCATTCACGGGGCACTGACCTGCATCTTCGCAACCATTTCCGATGGGACGATTCGCTTGGCAATCAATAGATCGTAGAAAAACTCCTGATGTCGGCACTTCACAAAAATCCTCAAGTACAATTTTTAAAGGCACTCAAAGCTGTGTATAACTGTATAACTCTATACTCTATACCCTGCAGTGGTCCCATGAGAAGGTCAACATATCAGTGCAATCTATGTCAAAGTTGAACAAGAACGCTTCTGAAGCATTAGCTCCTGTGCACAGCGACCCTTGAACTGCATATATACAGTAGTATCACAGTAATTAGGACACTACTTAAAGAATACTTTAAAACACTGAAAGGATATCAACAAATCTTTAGACTAAGGTGGGAAGTCTTCACCAAGGCACAGCAGCAGATCCCGCGGGCGCAATGAGGTTGCCACAGGTCCAACCCAAAATGGAGGCATCTTGGCCGTAGATTTGTGTCCTTCGAAGAAAACTCCCGGCGGCGCCTAGCAGGGAGGGAGTAAACGATGTTCAAAACAAAAAGGGACGTTATCCGTTTGCCAAAAGGAGGTAATCAAAACAGTGGTATATGATATCAAATGATATCGATATCTGATAAGTGGGTGCAAAATTTCAAAAAGTGGGTTCAAAACGAGCCTGGGATGTCCAAAGTTTTGTTCAAGCTGCCGGTGTCCGCAAAGGTGCACTTCTGATACTTTGCACTTGCCTTGGTTTCCAGCAACTTCGAACTTGCTCCTCCTGGTCACAATCATGCGTGTCGTATGGAGAATGCCTCGCAGTTGTTTTGTGGCTCGAGTGCGAGCAGGCTGCTGGCTGAGGAAAGATCTGAGCCTGGTCAAGGCTTGTCCAATCGGATGTTGGAGCAACTGCACCCAACGCCACAAAACCAGCAAGCACATAGTTGGTGCCTGCAATCGTTGGACGCAGGAACCACTCACCAGGAACCACCGATCGGACATGATCAAACCTTTGAGGCTCAGCATACGTCAGCACAGTTTCCGTCAAATGGCTGGTGTAGCTCGTGCACTGCCCCGGATTGCACAAAAACACTGGGCTTTGCTTGGCCGCTGCATGCCTCGGCCATTTAGTAGATTCCAAAACAAACACCAAATCAACCGATAAACGTCTTGAATACTCAACAGACAAAAGTTGGCGATTCAAGACACATTCTACAAAACCGACCCGCGATCATCCCCTAACTACCCTGATTGTGACCTTGACACCCAACACTTTTCATGTCAGGCCACAAAAACTCCAGCGGGCTGTGGACAGAACCACCCTGCTTCAGCAATGCATCATCGAAGCCAGAGACGTCGAAGTCCGCCAAGCCGCTCTGCATGCCTCAACGAAACCCCGGACTTTTGACGAAGGAAGGAGCGCGCGCGCGAAAAGCTCCTAGTAGCTTCGTGCTCCTAGTAGTACAGCCAGGAGCCCCTGGCGTTCTTGCTCCTAGTAGCGATGCCCTTTGCTCCTAGTAGCGAGTGTTTGCTTGTAGTGTTTGTCTTTACTTCATGTGCTCTTTCCTTCATCCTCCCTCCCTAGCATTACATCCTTGTCTCATTATCGCAATGCATTACCAAGGTAGGGTCTCGTGAAGATCTATTTCGTGGCCATTGGGTTCAAAAGAACATTGTATAGTTGTACATTATTTTGTTGTATAATTACACACACATATATTAATCAACCAATCAATAGAAATTGGAGCCAAGTCAAAGAAAATCTCGTCAGCCTTAACTGCCCCAGCTTCCCACAACCTTTGCAGGAACACGTTCTAAATTCCAACTTAACTAGTGAAAGAACATGTTGCGAATGATCCTTCACCTTCCTTAAATCAAAACACATTCCCAAATACAAAATTATATACATTTGACACACAACCATAAAACTACCACATTCGACTCCGAGAGGTTGCAGAATTACCTTTAGATAAACAACCACGGAGATCTAAACTTCGAGGGGCGCAAGAGGTGGCCAACAGTGACCTTCGCCGCATCTGCTCCAAAAAGCCCCACCATAGAGGTGCCATTCCTTGTGGGGCCACCGGCTGTCGCCAAATGAGCATGTATGAACATGTAGGAAGTCACAGCCTAAGCCTATCTGAGCCTTCCGTGTGGAAAAAAATTGGCCTTTTTGGGGCCAAGCCTCATGCGCTTAAGGATGCCATCCACATATTCTGAGGCTGGCCTATCTAGCCTTGCATGAGCTGCAGTGCTTCGATGAAGTGGTATGAATGCAAAGAACAATCGGGTCAAAACAAACCGACAAACTAAATGCAGTGCTCATCAATGTCAAACTTGCAGGGCGACTCAATCTTTCCTTCAGATGCCAATTTCAGGAGAAGGACTGCCTTGGATTCCACCATCAGCGATCATCGATATCAGTGCGACAGTGGTGCTGATGTTCTGGTGTGCACAAGCGACGTCAATGCTGCGTCAGTGCTGGATGCGAACACAGTCCAACAAAACCACATCATGGCGACAAACCTTGGCACCCTGCTTTGATCTAATTCCACGCAGAACCCGAATGCAAATATATCATAACACACATATATATATACATACATCTGTATATACCATAAAACGCCTGGATCATCGCACTGACTGCCCAAGCCACAGTGTAGGGCTTTGTGCCCGAGCCAAATGCAAAGGTGTCTTCCGCGGTAACGGCCTTGGACATCCAGGCCAAGAAAATCATCATCAAAACCTGCCTTGGGATTGTCAGGATCATTGGGCATTCTCAAGGTCAACCCTGCAAGTTCTGCTGGTCAAGTTTGTCAGAAAGTATGTCTTCAGCTGATTCAATCCATGGTCGTCTAGTGCGTGCAAGTGAGACCTACTGTGAGACCTCTATGTGGAACCATTCGACCGTTCTGCTAAAGGTTCAAGCATATTCTTTACCCTTCCTGGGTCTTGCCACGCTCAGGGGCCCATGCTCATCATAGGATCCTAGTGACTCAATTGAACAGGTTGATCCGAACTAAGGAGGTCAAGTATTATTATTATTGTTCCTCCCTCCACTATGGAGCTGCCTTCAGTCAGTCAACCGGCGTTGCACAAAGCATTTGGATGGATAGGTGCATGTTCAATTCTGTGTGCAACAATACAATATTCCTTCTAATCATGGCGTCGGTGGCTCTGTGTGCACACCCACCTGTGGAAGTCAGTGCATGCTTGAAACAGATCCCACAACTGCATGCGCAGGCTGCTTGCGTGGGACGTCAAACAATTCAGTGCGACAAAATTCAAACAAACCCCTTGTTCACAGCCCTGAGACTTAGGCTTTGCCAGTGATGGCATGATGACCTGCTGCTACTGTGAAGTCCTTCACGACTTGCGCAAAATGCGAGGAAACATCACCAGTTACCATGTCCACTCCAGCCTCTATGTCAGACCTCCAAGCAATTTGCATAGCGTAGCCATACTTTTGAGATAAACCATCAACCAAGCCTCAGCAACCACACCAAGATTGACCTTGACTTACGGTACTGCTCGCTGCTTGTCGCCCCCTAAAATCGAGCAGCTTTGAAATGCTGTTTGCAGCTGGCTTCCATCCGCCAATCCTCGGCTTTCAAACAATACCATCATGCCCTGTTTTCACAACTGCAGGGTCTTTTGCCAGTGTCATTCATCAGTCTTGGATGATTGCCGAGTGGCCAGCTGCAAGTAAAAGTGCGACAATATTGCGTCTCATTCTGTGGTCACCTTTAGAAGAAGGAGCACAGTTTGAGATTCCCGATTAATCCAGTTGAACAAACCAGTGAAGAACGACAAAAGCAGAATAAGTCCCAGCCCTTCACTGGCAACTAAATGGCACTTGGCTTGCGACCTTGAGCCATGACAGGCAATTATGTACCAACACATGCATACAAATATCATCAAGTGTCCGCTGACCTAGCTTCATCATTGCTTTCTGTTCTTGTTCTGTGCCCTGTGGTAGCAATGCCGCATTCTCTGTGTAGCATGTCGATCATATCGGCACATGGAACATGGATCCTAGCATGTCTTGAAGCAGGAAAAAGGTTCGGAAGAGACGCCATGATGCCATGCCCCGGATTTTCCTCTTCTGCTGTTTGCCTAGTGAGGCGGATCCAAAGACAGGCCTCGCTCCAGCTTTGCAGCAGCTTTAAGCTATGTGACAAAGGTCTGTTACCAAAAACAACTTGAGGCTGCCTAGGCCTTGTGAGCCTGAGTATGTTCGTTGTATGGGACACCCGAAATGCTGGGGCGACATGTGCCACCCACTTCCGCCTGCAAAGGGCGAATTTGCATCTGCGCTCCCAAATCATAAGGGAAGACAACTTGATAAGAAACGGCCACATCATATCCATCGTCCATAAGTGTCGATTGAGACAATTGATCTTTGGAAGGGAGTGCATGTGACACTGATAGCTAATGGGAACTGTTGGACACATTTGAGCATTTACATCTATAAAAAACAAGGCTCCGCTCATGAGGAGCTCAATGGCTGGCCACCAAGCAATCATTGGCACAAAATGGCACAAGTCAAACGTGACAGGCCACCATGAATTCTGACGAAACACTGATTCGACCGCAAATGAATAGTGCCTGGTGGTCGCTTCAAATCGCAACCGTAAGTCTTTGGTGCTGTCGCGGGAGCTTGCTGCTGGGTGCTCTCAAGCATGTGGTGCTTGATGCGATGCAGCCAACTAAAAACTAGGCAAGTGAGACTTCCTGGGCCCAAACGTTTAGGACAAGTGCTACCCAAGAGTCTGAAAGGAAGAAGGAGGAAGTTCCCACCTGCAGTATTTTAGGACACTTGGTGCCCTTAACGGCCTGGAAGCACTTCGATTGAGAACGCCAATGAAAGGACTGTTCATCCAGGGCTTCCAAGACGTTAAGAATTAAGACTAAAGATGCGTCTGCGAGTCGAAGCCTGTCAGCACCACTGCACCTGAGTCTTCCATGGCGTGATGGTTTATTGCTGCAGTAGCAGTGATGCATTCAGTCGTCCAGGCAACATGGAGACCATGCGAAGACAGGCAACAATGACGGTGGAGCATTCTTTCTGCACCATGCTGTGCCGAATTTGTCATACGGTTGTCAACAAGAAAGGCTCTTTGGCCAGAAGGCCATTGGCAGAAAAATAACAACATGCGGCAACTTTCAGCCATTCCATGTCACGAGAGCTGCACAACAACGAGACAAACCCACGTGACTAGAATCTAGAAACTTCAGTTGGAAACCACAAGTGAAAAACATCTGCAGTAATTTACAACTTATCAATTCTCATGATTTGATATGATTTGGGCATAACTTGACGGAATGTATGTGCCAGGAGAGCTTGGTCTGGAGAAGCCTGACAAAGGGCCTTGCTCGCGATAAAGTGAGGAAGTCCATACACCGCTCATCTGGACGGAACTTACCTGTCAAGGAATTTTGCTACTTTAGGACCTTTCCCTCGCTTACAGCCGCCGTGTCTGACTGGGCCCCTAAGTGGCTCCCGTTCCCTTTGATTGCACAATCTGATGCAAACAGGTAGCTGCCAAGAGTCTCTGCAATCTCTTTGAACTCCTCAAACAAGGTTATTACCCCGAACCATGCCACAATAAGCGGCAAAAGGCGCAACATCGGGCCTTGTTCGCAATCCGGTTTCGTGAAAGGTCAAGTACTTGCAGATGCGGTAGATCCCGGACAGCCTGTGTCAGCAGGTTGGATCGCAAAGTGGCTTGACCCAAGAAAGCACAAGAAAACATGGCCTCAACGTTGATAACATCATAACATCAACAACAAATCCATCTGAGATGGTGAAGCTCAGTGGGATTACCCGTCATGGGAAGGTTCGGCCTCAACCAGCTCTTTTGCCACTTCTCCATACATGCCATTGTGTGTCAGGGTAAGCTCTTTGAGGCAGTTCAGGCTGGTTAGCACTGATAGAAGGGTCTGCTGTGTCCCGCTCTCCACCTGCGCCACTTCTATTCAATCACATCCATTAGCCTGTATCTTTCCGTTTCTGTTTTCAGAAGTGCCAGGAGTAAAGCTAAGAAGAGTCGCTGATTGCGATCAATCATCAACTGTTTAAGGAAAGCCTCTTGGTGGATTGCTTTGCGAGTCAGGGGAAGATAACCTTGCTGCAGCACATGCACGCGATGGATTCACCCAGCACAAGCCTCTCCTACCGATACCCAAATCTCCAAACTGTGCTATGAACAATTCTGAAAGAAGAGTTTGAAGCACTAACAAGCGCCACGCTAGTAGTAACAGGTGCCTTACTAGTAGTAACAATGTTTGCTAGTAGAAACAAGGAGCTAATTTAGCTCACTGCTCATTGACAGCGATTTTGCCGGTCCCTTTCTCTCTCTGATATGCTTCATTGCTTCATATTAATTATGAATGGTGCAACTTGTCCAAAAAGCCATGGCACTGAGCTCCAGCCGTCGCAATCTTAAAGAAGCAAGCCCTCGCAAAAGCGCTGCCAAAGCTGCACTACTCGGCCTCACAAGAATAAATTACCTTTGTCAAAGCACACATGCTGAGGAAAATTGAGGAAGGCACAGTAGCAGCTGTATTGCAAAGTGGTGTTCATCAGAGGAGGAGAAAAAAACATCGTTATCAGCTTGATGAACGGATGTCTTTTCTTGCTGTGTGGCGAACGTGTGACAACGAGTCTTGATTTGTAAGTGATGTTGGGATATATTTGGCAATTCTGACGCCTTCACCCGGCGTGATTCTCCAATGTAATGCAAGTTTTTTTTGATACTTATTATTGGATTTTTTGGGGGGATTTGTCCAAACTTCAAGCCGTCAGTTCTATGGCCTTGAGTCTTGAGCAATCCCCAATATTTTGTGACAAAAAGGATTGGCTCCAGGCCATCAAAGTGGGGCCGCTATTCGTGTAAATTCTTCTGGAAATGCTCGTGCAAAGCAAATAAAGCAAGCGACTCTCACACCCGGAAAAGCCTCAATGGTGTAACACTATTTGAGAAAGATGCCAGCACCACAGACAGGTCCTGCATCATTCACGGTGCAGTGCTTGGTCCCGCAAACCTGCTTTGCTCTGGCTCAAACTGATAAAAACCTCCAGCGGAAGTGGCAAAGCTTTCTTGGCAGCTGCCAGTGCATCGCCCAAGCTGCTCAAAAGTTGGTTCACCAACCTTCAACATCGGCACTTTTCGGTGCCATAAGGCTTGCACGTGGCATGACTTCTCCAACAGTGATCCTGTTATTGATAGCTATTTTTTTTGTTTAGCTGAGCGTTTCTCCTAAATGAGACTCTTCAGGACTCTTCAGGCCTCTCGGGGAGCTTTCCGCTTTCATTGAGGATGTCCAAGCGAAGGCTGCGCAATTGGTCAAGGCTAAGCCGTTGTGCCAGTGCCAGCAGGGCAGATGACGAGGCACCTTATTTCAAAAAACTTGCAGACCTATCTGCCAGGGTGGATCAGGGCGGGTTCCTTGCGGCAAAGTTTTGCTGCTTAAACATTTTTGACATGCAATTGCGTAAGTAGAGGCCATTACACGAACTCGAAACAGGCCAAGCAACTCAGGCTAGCAGTTGACACTCGAAGACGGCCAGTCCTGCCAGAATGAATGAGTTTGAACATTCTCTGAAAACAACAGGTTCCTAATTAAAATGCGGCAGCAGGGATTTAGTAGCATGCCCCATCGGGTGACATGTCGAGATGACACCCTGTCTGCCTTGGATCTCGCAGCTGTTGTAGCAGCTCGCGGCACGTGCATGCGAGACATGCCACTGGCTGCGGACCTGTCTGCGGCCACATGCATGGCCACAATGTCAAGTCTAAAGGTTGGAGTTTGGGTAAGTGGCAGCTAGCAAGGGACTGAAGATGAACACAGAAGGTAAGGGCCCCTTTAGTTAGGGTTTCCTTCTATTGAAGGGGGCCTTTCCTTCTGGCTTTCGTCTCCTTCCCTACTGGTACTACTGTTTCAGTTTGCGCCAGCACTCCACTCCTGCCTTTGGAGTCCTTCTGATGGCAAAATGTCATACAACATTACATGTCACATCATCAAGCGCAAAGGAAACACGAGCCTCCAAGGAGCTCAAGAACTAGAACGGTTCGAATATCCTCCCGGCAAAAAGTCACAGCAAAACAGCAGCCACTTCCTAGTCTGTACATGCCCTTTTGTGAGGAAGCAGTCCTGTGAGATTGCCCCGACAAGGCCTTGCCGAGACGACAAGGTGCCTCAAGTGCGTTCTCATCTATGCTGCCTCAACATATACTCTTTAAAATGGCATCTTGCAAATTGGGCGCCCGGCCAATTGAGCCAATGGGACCGGATGTCATTTGAACCAATTGAGGCTCATTCGTTGGCGGGCACCAGCTGCACTTTCCAGCTGTGCCCGGGTAGCCTGCAACTGGTTCCCCTTCCAATAAGATGTTCCATCTTGGTATGTCGTAGATTATGTGAGCCACGGATCACTTTGCTTCAAAACTGCAGTATGTATATATGTATATATGCATTCAAAATCAAAGCTACGACTACGGTGCAGAACGCTCCCAACTGGGCATGCTTTGCAAATGTCATGTCAAGCCATCCCCGCAGCTGACCTGTGCTTGAGGCCAGTACTCCTGTGCCCATGCTGTTGTTCAGCAAGCTAGAAATGACCGGTGCACAGGCCTTCTTGGGCCTAAATGCATCACATCATCATTGAACTTCCCCTCCCTCGACCTCGACCTGCGATGTAGGAATTTCAAACACAGGAATTCTCCAAGCTCTTTCAAACCCGAACCAACAGCAGCACCCCATGTGATGCGGGTGCCAGTGACTCAGTGGCTCCAGCAAAAAACGAGACGGCCCTTTTGTCAGACCAAGCTGCAAAAGCCTGGCGTACGTTACATTTATGTTTCGATGGGTTGTATGTCGCCCATGCCAGCTGTGGTGCAAAAAATCGGGGATAATCATATCAAAGGATCTGATGTCATCTTCTCTTGCTCATTGAGCAACCTCAGATTCACTGCTGGCACAGGGGAAGACGGCGAAGGTGAGCTCTCAGAACGCTCTTCGGTCCTTGAAAAATGATACATGATGAACGGCGCATTGCAATACACAATATCTTGACAAAAAGAAACATGGCCTGCTCAGCGACCTAGACATTCGATCAGGGTCTTGTACGTCACCACTTCGCGCCCCTCGTGCCACTTTCAATGCAAATTGATTCAACATGGTTTCACTCAGATTCCATTGTTGCCAAAATGAAGTCGCCTTGCTGCACAGGTCTCTGCGATATCGCACTGTATTATCAAACAATGGAAAATGAAAAGAAAAGCCTCGGGGTGTTGGATCAAGCCCTTCAGGGCACACCTTGACGGCTGAGAGATTGGAGCCAAACTGCCAACTCTATCATCTTCGTCTCAACATGTTCACTCTCATACACTCTGATTATCTGGATGTTGCATGATGCACTCTGACTCACTAACATGGAAGTGGACAATGGTTTCTGGGATGGCATGGGATGGCTATTTATATATCTCTGTAAACGACCGGGTTTCCAACTCCATGTTACTCGGTCAGAGCCAAACTGACCGGCAAAGTTTACGAGAATTGAGAAACAACCCCAATTGAAAGATGTCGCTGGGCCGCAAACACTGCACATTCTCGAATCTCACTCTGGTCAGACTTGGTGCCCTGTGTTCCGCGAGGTATTGAAACCATGAACATCAGGTTCAGTACAGGATCACTGTAGCAAGGCACTTCTCGCCTCAAGAATCAGGCTCACTAAGCCCTCTTTGATCAAATGAGTGCGTGACCTGACAGGTTGAACAATACTTGGCGGTTGCTGAAACTTGGAAATACGTAGGTAGTTGGATCATATGAGCAAATCAGGTTGCCAGCATGTTGCAAGCAAATGCTTGCAGCGGTGAGTTGTTCTCTATTGATGACCCTGCTTACAAACTCCGCTCACTGGCAGCATTATTGTGAAGCCACTTCTGACTTTCATGCACTAATTCAATCTGCAATTAGGAATCTCTTCCTTCAATTTTCTCCACATCCTGCCAGCTGAGGCACTCTTGCAATGTGCCCATCATCCGCCCGATGAGTGCTAGAACCTCAAGAAAACAAACAAGAAGACATAAGAAGACTGTGAAGGCAACACATACTGAGACACTGTTTCACTTGCATCCCAGCTCGGAGCCCAGTATCGAACCGAGTACTCATCATCCAGCTCCTGAACCACGATGCGCATCGATATGACATCGACGGAGGTCGAAGGTGCAAGGGCCTGATCCGCCCCCTCTTCGTGCCAGAATTCAATTAGCTTCTGTGCACCCCCAGCCTCCAACACTCAAAAAGGCACATGCAAATGTTGGCAACAGTTCATCATTTCTGAAGACCACAAATATTAGTGAGATTTTGTGAGAATCATCACAGCTAAGGTAGGGACAGTGAGGAACCCACGTTGCCAAATTGGGCTATCTCGCCGATTGCTATTGACCCAGTCGTAGATTACCTTATATATATATAATAGAAAACATGGAAACTGAACAAGAAATGGTGGGAACCCCTCCTGAAGGCCAGAATGGTGACAAACAACTAGAGTAAGGTCACCGCACTCAGGACATAGTTTCGGGTAAATAGCTTCTCTCGGCAGACCTCAATCTGTATGAAAAAGTCTCCCTTCCGCAATTTCATGCAATTTCTAAGCGGTCAACATAGTGGAGGAGCTTGAACATCTCCCGGAACGCTGCCTGAATGTGTTGAAAGCAATGGTATTGAATGCCGAAGGGAGATATAATACAATATTAAACTCATTTAAACTCGACTTTTTCATGCCGCAAGAATGCCTGGTGATAGGAAACCGCTCGCTTGAAACACTCCCCCATTCATGGGAAGGCCATAATATGGCCAAATCGAGTAACTTGCCAAACTACTGGAATGGCAATGGCACTGGCAAAACTTTCGAACTACCCGCCTCCTCTGTTGGAGGTGGGTACTTCCTGCTGTTCCGCAGGTTAAACCTGCAAACGTGGCACCCAATTACATGTGTCTAGAGTCTATATGTGTCTATATGCAACATCACATGCAAGCGCATCAAATCAGACAGGGTGGCTCCAAAGGAGGTAGCGGATATGCGAAGCCAACCTCAAATGCTCACTTAGGAGGATTGCACTGCGTCCGATCAGCCTAGGCTGCCGAACCGTGTCTGGGTCAGGCTCCTCCCGCACAGGTAGAAGTATTTCCTGCGACAATATCTGCAGGCTGCAGGTCAGGCTTTTTGGTTGGCCATGCCAGCCAAGGTTGGAGGCCATCGCTATAATTAATTAGGTTGGAGGCCATCGCTAGTAGGTTGGAGGCCATTGCTTTATCTTTATGTATCTTGGAGTCTCACTTCGATCTTTCCGACTTGCAAGCTTGGTCAGCGTCCTGATCCGGGCCCAGTGCGATTGAGCTGTGGTACCTACCTGAGGCCCAGAACAAGACTGCACAAAAGCCAAAATCTGATTGGCTGGGAAGCCGCACCCCAGCCCTCCCACATTTTCAGCTGCTGCAGCACCTTCGATGCCAAGCGTTGGCTTCATGGACATCTAAGGTCCAAGTTTTCGATGTCAAGTTCTTGGGCCTCTTCTGGCGTGCTGGCCGCACAGGCAAACTCCTTGGCTTTTGCTATTGCATCGATCTCCTGGCGCCGTGCGGTTTCTGCTGCATGTGGCGATTTCTCGGTTTCCCTTTCACAAGCGTGCGATAACAGGCCGAGATTTCATCTGCCATTTTGGGATGATACCTGGTGGCTCAGCCATATGACATTCACACACAAATCAACCGAGCTGACCGAGACTCTGGCACGTCAAAACCACAAGCACAAGGGGCCGTGACAAGTTAGCTCCAAAGAAATGAACAGCGACCCAGCCACACTCATCCTATACGATGTTGATTTGGCCTAAGGGGCTGGCGGTGATTCTCACTGTTTGTTTATTGTCCTGTATGCCACAGAACCGCGGCATGGAGCTAAACACTGATGCCAGCATCAAACGCAACATCCAGCATGCAAGAATCACTGTTGCATCAAATGCGGAAGTGTCCCTTCCACAAAGACTTGCGGTTCACAAGCATGGTCATCATTCATAATCATTCTAGAAACAGCCGGCCATCTCTTTTTGCATCCTGCCAAGGCTTCTTCTTCTCAGCTGATCTCCTCCTCATTTAGTGTCTCTTCCTGTAAGTCAGGAATCTGTCAGGCGCTTGGCTGATGAGCTCTGTTTGAAAGCCAGCTAGCAGCAGTCCTTGACCACTTGGACCAACCACTCAGGTGTCTCAGCCTGTCACGTGGAAAGTGTGGAATCATGTGGAATCTGGAATCATACCAAAGTTTTGCGCCCGATACTGCCTCATGAAGTCTGCTTGACCGAGGCTCCCGTAACATGCGCGCTGCCTTCTCGGCTAAACTTGATCACAGCTCAACAAGATCCCAAACCCTAAGATTGCTTGACGTCCCACGGCAAGGTAGACACCACCGTCTACCTGGACCTCTACCACAAAGCTCAGATCTCAGAGGCTCTGGTCTCTCGGGGTCTCTTCAAGAAGATTCCTTTCTGATCTTTTCTGCACCTTCGGAGTGTCCGGCTTTGGTTCCAGGGTGGTTGGCCTCGCAAAGAACATGTTGAAAAGCCCTGTCCAACCCTACTGAAGTCTGCTCACCACTCAGTCAACGGGCTGTTGAGATTTCGGCTCAGCTTGGTGGTTCTCCTCAGCAGCCTCAACGGTTTTTCAAAGACGAGCGGACAAAAAAATGGAACAAGGCAATATAAGAACTGCTGTCTTGACTGTGACATACTGTGACTGCTCTCATATCCGCATACATACCGCGTAGATTGTGTAGAAATATGTACAGCGTACATAGGGCCGAGGAAATGAGGGCACTGCTCTCTGCAGCATTGAATCTACATAGCAGCATCTAGCAGAATCTAGCAGAATCTAGCAACTACTTGAGGCCAGGTGAAAGAGGTCGAAAGCTAGCCGAATCGCACCGGATGTACTAGTTACATAGTCGGCAAAGCATGTAGGGATTACATGTTTTGGGAGGAAGGTTGCTATGTACATACTTTGCGCTAAAGAATGTAAATGTGACATCGCTGACTGGGAAGGGTACATTGGAACAACCCGGGTGCACTCGTTGGCAGGCACGAAGATGCGTGATCGGCAAATCTGGGGGGTAAATTTACCCTCCGCTTTTGTATGCCTTGAGTCGGAAAGAGGGGTAAGCATTTCTGACATCATACGGACTGTACATACACTAGGGCGTCCGTAGTGTAGGAGAAGCACGGGTAAAAGGTATATGGAATAGAGTGTCTTGAGGAAATAGCCGGTGTATGGTTATTGCAAATCTGGGGGGTAAATTTACCCCCCACTTATGTATGCCTTATGCTAGAAAGAGGGGTAGGCATTTCTGGCATCACAAGGACTGTGCATACACTAGGGCGTCCGTAGTGTAGGATAAGCACTGGTAAAAGGTATAAGGAGTAGAGTGTTTTGAGGAAATAGCCGGCTTATGGTTATTGCAAATCTGGGGGGTAAATTTACCCCCCGCTTATGTATGCCTTGAGACGGAACGAGGGGTAAGCATCACAAGGATTGTGCATACACTAGGGCGTCCGTAGTGTAGGATAAGCACTGGTAAAAGGTATCAAGAATAGAGTGTCTTGAGGAAATAGCCGGTGTATGGTTATAGCAAGCCTGGGGGGTAAATTTACCACCCGCTTATGCATGCATTAGGTTAGAAATAGGGGTAAACAACTTGTAACGGTGAAGTACAAGTCCTATGCAGCAAGCAGCAGCCAGCAGCAGCAGCAGCAGCAGCAGCAGCAGCAGCCGCCTGCAGCCAGCAGCCAGCAGCAACCACCAACCAGCAGCCAGCCAGCAGCACCACGCAGCAGCAGCGCAGCATCAAGCCGCAGCAGCAGCAGCACCACCGGCAGCAAGCAGCAAGCAGCAGCAGCAAGCAGCAGTAGCAGCGGCGTCGTCAGCCGCAACAAGTAGCAAAGCAGCAGCTACAAAAGCGGCAACCAGCGGCAGCAGCAAACAGCAGCAGCAAGCAGCAGAGCGGCAGCAGCAGCAGCACCCTTTACACCAAGCCACCGTTTACACCCAACCAACCACGTTCAACCAACCCCCTACACGGCGCAGCTGGGAGTTGAACCGCGGGGGGGGGGTTAGCTTGATATATCAATCTTTAAGGCACGCAGCCCCTCCCACCACAACATTGCTAAAGCAAAGAAGAACTCAGCTAGCATGCTAGCTTTCGTGACAAACACGGCCAAACGCATAAGTAAAACGAGAGAGAGAGAGAGAGGAAGAAGAAAACAATTCGAAATTCAGTCCAGCATCTGTTTCCGAGCCTCTGGTTTTAGCAAGGTCTCTCTCGAGGGAGCCTGCGCCAGAAATTGGACAATATCGTTTTATCACGTCATATCACAGTTTGTTTTGACCTGTAGGAGGCAGGAAAATCCTTCAAGACTTCAGCCACTGCCCTCCTCACAAGAGATCAACCTTTTAGCTCGCAATTTGCGTGCAAGTCTCGGATCGGCTCATCTCACCGAGTAGCCCAGTTTAGGCACATACCGGTGACACGTTGTGACAACTCATAAGTTGAGCAAATCCGCTTGGATGGACTGGTTGAAGGTCAAGGCTGATTTTAGCCTGACATTTCCTTGGATTCGGCATGGCCGCACACATCTCATCAAGTCTGACTTTGGCTTTCCAAATCCTTTTCGGCAGCTTTCCACATTTCACATCATTTCACCAGATCCACCCGATTCTCCCGTATACCCCCCACCTTTTCGTCAAAATAACCCCCAAAGTCCCCTTTTTGCCCAGGAAAGGCCAGCTGCATGATTCCCTGTTGAACAAATGCGAGTTCGGAAGCAAGGCAGCAATTCTCGTCAAGAGTCGCTCCTGTCCGGTCAATCCTTTCCACCCTGGCAAAAGCATCTCCAGCCTGTCCTGCGCACACTGCACAGCTAAAACACACACACAAAGACTGTCACCCTGCATTCCCATCCCAAGTCTGGTTACAGTTGATCTCAGGATGATGAACGCCCCTCCTATCAATTCTGATGCCACGTGACTCTCCATATATAAATGATTTGTCCATATATAAATGATTTGTCATACTTTGTCAATCATTGAAGCGATTGCTGCACAATGAAGGGCCTGCACTGAAGGCTCTGCCCACATGTCTGCAAAATAGTCTGATTTTCCATCGATGGCATCAGCAATCATCACCTCACCATGGACCAAGGGCAGCTGAACATAGAAACTTGAAATGCCTTTTGACCGTCGTGTCTTGACCGTCCCACCTTCATAGTGCCAATGAAGTCGTGTCTAGCCCGGAAGTTCAGCATGGCCCTTGCACGACAGGTGTCCGCCAAAGTGCCTAGCAGGTCATTCTGGCGAGCCTCGACATGTAACTGATTGGAGGAGATGAGATCGGCCACTTCCTTCACCGAATGCTTTTCCCCGGAGCCAATGTTGATGGAGGTGCCATGGACAGCGCTCTGGTAGCCCAAAATGAGCGCTCTGGCCACATCATCGACATGGATAAAATCTCGGAAGTTTTGCCCATTGCCCTCGATGATCAGCGGCTGACCATGCTTGAGGCGATCTATAAACTTTCCCGTGACAATGGCGTAAGCACCCTGCGCTGGGTTTCGAGGTCCGTAAACCATGAAGAAGCGCAGTGACAAAGTGGGAAGTCTGTACAAATTGTCATTGGTAAGCATTATGAGCTCACCCATGTACTTCGACGCCGCATATGGTGATGTCGGCATGAAAGGATCTGTCTCTGCGAAAGGGACTGGTTGATTCCCATAATAAGTCGAGGATGCCGCATACATCACCTTGCGGACCATCATGGTCTCATTTGCTACCTGCCAGGGCAGCAAAGACACGAATCCGATTGAAACACACGGGGCTTATCTCATTCTGACATCGCCCCAGTTTGGAGGAAAGTACCCATTCCATCCAATAGTGTAGTATACTTGGCCATACTGAAATCTGTGCTTGTCCAATATTCTCAAGAATACCCGCCAAGGTCATCATGCAAACCTGAACCAAACAAATGACAAGGTTTGAAATCATTGTCCCAAGACTGGGTCAAAAAATCATATCCAGTAGCAACACTTGAGTACCGCTACTGGTCCTAACCAGGCCGACAAAAGTGATGGTGATGATTTTGCCTCAAGAACACGGCTGGTGCCAACTGAGTTTCTTTCCACATTGAAGGTGCCCATGTGTGGGTTCCTTGGCTGGGGCAACACATTCGAACATTTCAAGTACAAATGCCAAAAGTCTTGGACAAATTTGCCAAGGGGCTTGAGTGAAGGAAGGACTTTGCTGGCAGCGCCAAGGTGGAAAACACCGCGCACACCAACCATTGCATTCCTACGCATCCACAAAGAAATCTGTAAAGAATTGGCGTACGCAGGCTTTGGACAGCTTTTGCGTACAGTATACTTTAGCGACCCTAGCGTTCATTCCCCAGAGCTCAAACAAGAAATGTGATCAGCTGTGAACGGTGATACTGGCATGACCCCTGGTTGTGACCTCTCCTCAAAGACTCCACATCCATAATGTCACCATAAATAAACTGCAGGTGAGGATGGCGTAGGTTTAAGAAAAGCAGGTTGCCAGTCTCCAAGTTGTCATAGACGCGAACATGATAGCCCAGTTCAAGGAGCTGTTCCACTAGATGGCTGCCAATGAAACCAGAGCCA